GTTACCCTTTTAGTTTCTGTAAGTGCTAATGATGTTAGCAAAGTTGTTTGATGATCACATTCCTTCTTACTAATGTATTCTCTTTTAAAAGCATTTGAAATTGCCATATCACCATAATCATTTATTAAGTTACAAATACTTTGTTTAGGCAACTCTGACTGATAATGGACTGCGTCTTCTCCATCTTTTTAGACTGAATTCCATTTTTCTTATTTTATATGGCTTTAAGTCATCATTCACTGACTCTTCAGGCCAACCATTCTTACAGTACTCATATACTTTTATTAAGCACTCATCTTTTTGTGTTTCTCTTTTAACATCATTCACATTTGTATTGGAGTTATCCATGATAGTGAAGAGAACAAATACATCTTCTGGTACATAGCTAAGGCTTTGGTTTTTTAAAGGTAATCTACTAAGACTATCTGCACTATTCTCAGATCCAGGTTTGTATTTCAATTCATAATTGTATGCAGTTAGTGTGATAGCCCATCTTTGAATTCTTGGTGAGGCATGCTCAGGTAGGGTTTTGTTTTCTCCAAATAAACCTAGCAATGGTTTATGATCTGTAAAGATGGTGAACTTCCTACCAAACAGAAACTTATGAAATTTCTTAACACCAAAAATGATGCCTAAGCCTTCCCTATCTAACTGAGAATAATTTTTCTCAGCCTGGTTCAAAGATCTACTGGCAAAAGCAATGGGTCTGTCACCCTTTTCATCCATGTGGGACAAGACTGCTCCTACACCATCTGGTGAAGCATCACATGTTAAGATAAGTCTTTTCCCTGGGTCATAGTGAGTTAGTAAGGTGTCAGAAGACAAAGCTTCTTTTGCTGTATTAAAAGCAGCTTCTTGTTGTTTACCCCAGTGCCAAGTTGCATTTTTCTGTAGCAGCTTGTACAGTGGTGATAGTTTACCAGACAGATTTCCTATGAACTTTGCATAGTAATTTATCAAGCCCAAAAAAGCTCTTAGTTGTTGGGTATTTTTAGGTTTGGGTGCTTCTTTAATGGCTTTTGTTTTCTTAGGTTGAGGTCTGAGACCTTGCTTGCTTAATATATAACCAAGAAAACTAATTTCTGTCAGCATGAATTGACATTTATCTTTGTTTATCTTTAAACCTTTTTCACCAACTATTTTCAAGACTTGATCAAGTGTATTAAGATGTTCAGTGTCATTCTTACCAGTTATGTACACATTGTCAAAGTAAACACAAACATTTGGAATATCCTTAAAAATACTGTCCATGACAGCCTGGAAAATTCCAGGGCTGGATGATATACCAAAACATAGTCTTTCATATTGGTAGAGTCCTTTATGTGTGTTTATTGTCGTATAGACTTTTGAATCTGGATGCAGTTCTAGTTGAGTGTAAGCATGACTAAAGTCCAATTCAGTGAATTTGTCTCCTCCTGCCAACTTCAAAGAAATTTCCTCAATGTTAGGAATAGGGTACCTATTTAGCTCTATTTGCTTATTCAGTGTAGCTTTATAGTCTCCACAAATTCTTACAGAACCATCCTTCTTTAACACTGGCACAATGGGCGTTGCCCAATCGGAATAGTCTACCTTCTTTATGATGCCATTAGATTCCAATCTACTTAGCTCATTTTCAATTTTATTCCTCATTGAATAAGGTGGAACTCTAGCTTTGCAGTATCTTGGATTTGTGTCTTTAATGCTTATCTTCACTGTTCTATCATTTAGTAATCCAGGATTACCAAAAACACATTTATTTTCAGATATAACTTTATCTATTGAAGTAAGACTAGATTCTCTTGCATTGTTCAATGAACATATACTCTCCCAATTTAACTTAAGATCAACTAACCAGTTCCTACCTAGTAATGGTGGTCCATTTCCTTCAACCACAAGAAGAGGAAGTTTAACACTTTGACCATTATAACTTACATGAACCATACACTCTCCTATTACCGGAACATTGTCACCAGTGTATGTTGTTAGACACTTGTGACATGGTTGTAGAGGCACTGATCCTCCTGTGACAGCGTCAAAGTCCTTCTTTGTGATGACTCCAGTGTCAAGTTGGAAGCTGATGCTCTTACCGTTGATATAAACTGGTACATTGATGGGAGCATGACTTATTGATTTCACAGAGAACAGGTTGAAATCCGGCTGCGAATCAGTTTGAGCATTTTCACAGGTAGAGTGGTTCATTGGTTGGGTTAGGTAGTCTTGGTGAGAGTTAACATAGTGCTGCCTTTGGTTGCGGTACTGTCTTGACTGGCTAGATTTAGCAACAGACGAAGACTTTGCAAAGCAGGCCTTGGCAATGTGACCTTGCTTTCTGCACTTATAACAAGTTGCTAACTTGAACTTGCATCGATGAGATGCATGGGGACCTTTGCATCGATGACATTTTTGATAATTATTACTAGATTTAGATCTAGGCTTTAAACGTGCAGGCTGTTTAGCATAAGTTGAAATGCTCTGATGGGGTTGGTGTTTGTTGACTAACCTGTTGTTTACTGCATGGATCTCTGAAGGTGCTAGAGATTTCGCCGCCTCGGATGACTGCTGGAGTGAAGTTGCTAGTTGTATTGCTTTTTCCAATGTGAGATCTGACTCGAGCAGCAACTTTCTTTGAACATCAGGGCTGTTTACACCTGTCACAAACTTTTCACATAGTCTGTCAGACAGCGTGTCTCCGAATTCACAAAATCTACTTAGATGACGTAAAGCAGCAACATATTCTGATATTGACTCGTTTGGTTGACGAGTCCTACCGTCAAATCTAGCTCGACATAGAAACTTTGATGGGGTAGGCGCATGGTGGTCTGTTAGCAATTTGCTCAGCTCGTTAAAGCTCTTGGTAGTTAGACCAGCTGGTGCGCATAAGTCCTTTAGTAGCCTAAATTGTTGAGGCCCTATGACTGTTAACAAAACAGCTCTCTTTTTGGCTTCTATCGTCACGTTGTTTGCTTCAAGGTAAAAGCTTAACCTATCTAGATAATCATGAATGATTTCATCATTCGAATCAAATTCTTTTATTTGGCCATACAGCGCCATTATCCTAGAAATACTTAGCCAATATGCTCTAGCAAACCTCTTTTTGAGTAAGTAGGTGCTCTTTCTAGTGGATCATTTATCCTCGTCGCCAGATATAATAGATTGAAAACACTGACGAGAAGCCGCGTTGGTTGTTAACAAGCCTTTATTCAGCCATGATGGAAGAGAGAGTACGGAAGTGACGAGAGACAATTATTTATATACATGTAAGGGACATCACTCAAGATAACAGTATAAATATAATACTAATACAAGAAGAGTGAGTTCCCCTGACTTCACAAGTCTCACTATATTACAAGTATATTTGTAAATATGTAAACAAAGGAAGTGATATGGCTGTTTTTGGAGTGGGAAATCCGTCTGCACCAATCGATGCAATTGAACGATATCAATAGGGACGCTACATTAGTAGCAATGAAGCTGTTTGGCGAATCTTATCATTTCCCATTCATGAACACCATCCACCTGTTGTTCACTTGGCTGTGCGTGTTAAAGATGGACAAAGTGTTTGCTTTACAATGGAAAACATACAAACTAAAGCTTTGTCACCACCGCAAACTACTTTAACTGCATTCGTTGTGTTGTGCAATGAAGATGAGTTCGCCAGAACGCTTCTTTACTCAGAAGTTCCAAAGTATTACAGGTGGAATGGATCAGCGAAAAAGTTCCAACGACGAACACAGGGCAAACCCGTTGCAGGACATCACAATTTATATTTGTCTGATACGTTAGGCCGTCTCTATACCGTCCACCCAAATAATCAAGAATGTTTTTACTTGAGATTATTGTTAGTTAACGTACGTGGGCCGAAATCATTTCAAGAACTGAAAACAGTAAATGATGCAGAATGTGAGACCTATCGAAAAGCTTGCCAAAAACTTCATCTTCTTGAAAACGATGCCCATTGGGACACAGCACTCGCTGATGCATCAAATACTGCTCAGCCACAACAAATGCGTACGTTATTTGCAATAATATTGACAACATGTTTCCCTTCCAATCCAAAAGATCTTTGGGAAAAACACAAAGATTGGATGAGTGAAGACATCTTACGTCGTTTGCCAAGCACGAATCCCAGTATGCAATTTACACCAATGGTGTATAATAAGGCGCTGCTTTCGATCGAGGATATATGTTTGTCAATCGCTAACAAAGGATTGGTGCAATTGGGAATGTGTGCACCAAATCGATCTGCAAATAACTCATATGATCGTGATTTGCAATGTGAAAACGACTTCGACGTCAATGATTTGGGTGCGTTTGTTGAAAGGAATCTACCAAAATTGGTTCCAGAACAACGTATTGTATATGACACAATCATGCAAGCAGTTACAAATCAAAGCGGAGGATTGTACTTTATAGATGCACCTGGAGGCACAGGCAAAACTGTTCTTATTTCAATCATTTTGGCAACGATAAGATCAAGAAATAAAATTGCCTTGGCAATTGCATCATCTGGAATTGCAGCAACACTTTTAGATGGTGGTCGAACAGCACATTCAGCCCTAAAATTACCGTTGAATTTGCATTCCATCGAGACGCCAACATGCAATATCACCAAAAATTCTAGAATGGGCAAGGTTCTCCAAACATGTGAGTTGATCATATGGGACGAATGCACTATGGCGCACAAAAAAGCATTGGAAGCTCTTGATCGCACACTTCAAGATTTGAGGGATAATGGGCAGCCCTTTGGCGGAGCACTCATTTTATTGTCGGGTGATTTTAGACAAACTCTGCCAGTTATACCACGTTCAACACCGGCTGATGAGCTTAATGCATGTCTCAAATCATCTGTTCTATGGAGACATGTAAAGAAATTAACCTTGAAAACCAACATGCGTGTTCAACTTCAAAATGATGCATCCGCCGAACGTTTCGCAAAACAATAGCTGGATATTGGGAATGGGAAGATGGCAGTTGACAGATCGTCACAATATATCGCGTTGCCAGAAAACTTTTGCAACATGACATCAAGTCAAGACGACTTAATTGAAAAGGTTTTCACAAATATCTCACAGAAGTTTGAAAACCATCAGTGGCTTAGTGAACGTGCCAAATTAGCTGCTACAAACAGCGATGTCAACGACATGAATTTCACCATTCAAAAGAGAATACCAGGAGAAGAAACAACGTACAAGTCAATCGACACTGTGATAAATCAAGACGAAGTTGTCAGTTATCCGACAGAATTCTTAAATTCATTGGATTTGCCAGGTATGCCACCGCATATATTAAGTCTGAAACTTGGTGCGCCTATCATTCTCCTTAGAAATATAAATCCACCACGACTGTGCAACGGTACAAGACTTGCAGTCAAAAAATGATGCAGAATATCATTGAAGCAACTATCTTGACTGGAAAATTCAAGGGTGAACATGTGTTGTTGCCACGTATTCCAACAGACATGCCGTTTGATTTTAAACGCTTACAATTTCCAGTACGCCTGGCTTTTGCCATGACTATAAATAAAGCGCAAGGCCGATCCCTGCAAGTATGTGGTTTAAACTTGCAGAACCCGTGTTTCTCACATGGGCAATTATATGTTGCTTGCTCACGCGTGGGAAAATCTTCAGATTTATACGTATACGTGCCAGAAGACAAAACAAAAAACATTGTATATCCACAGGCGCTCGAATAAACAGATTGAATTAAATGGTTTCATCATTGAAACAAATTAATGTGAATGTTAATCATATTTGTATATAAAAGTAGTGAATATGTTTCAATAAAGTACACTGAATGTTCATATGTTTATATTAAAACACTATATACGCTTCAATTTATATGTTAAGTGAATGTTAATCATATTTCCATATTAGAATGGTAAATATTTTATAGTAAAAATGTACATTGAATATTATACCGTTGTTACGTAGAAAATTGATTTATACATTTTTGAAAATGTAAATTGAATGTAATAATACTTCCTTTTTAAAATGATTGATAATTTTCATTTTCAATAAAAATGTATATTTAATGGCACCATACCTTTCATAATGTGTTTCTTTAATTTTTTTTTAAACTTTAAGACCGCAGCAACGCGCGGGACGGGTACGCTAGTATATATATATATATATATATATATATATATATATATATATATATATATATATATATATATATATGGTGACAGGACAAATGATCTCAGGACAAATGATTTCAGACAAAATATCTCAGACAAAATATCTCACGGACAAATGATCTCAAGACAAATAATCTCAGGACAAATGATCTCAAGGACAAATGATCTCACGGACAAAAGATACCAGGACAAAATATATCAAGACAAATAATACCACGGACAAAATATCTCAGACAAAATATCCCACACCTAAATTTCAATGGTGTATTGGATGATTTTAATTGATCTGAATTTTTTTTTTTGACTGTCATATGGTTTTGTTTACTATGTTTAATACAGTTTTTAGGCCTATATATTAATTGTAAGAAATGATTGCCGTATCAATTTGTCATATTGCACTAAACATTTTAAGGTTAGTATTTGTAATATGGTATACCAAGATTAAAGAAATAATTTTGATAGACGGCGTAGGTGGGCTTCAGTAGCGTAGCGAGGGGGGGGGGCATAAGTCACCGGGCGCCGACCTTAGGGGGCGCCAAAATGGGTTGGAAAGATAAATTGAAAGGTTGAGGGTGGTGTAAATCGAAAGTTTGAGGGGGGGGGGTGCAAAATGGAAAACTCGGGTGGGGTGCAAATCGAAAGTTTGAGGGGGGGGGGGGCAAATCGAAAGTTTGTCGCCGGGCGCCGGGAAGGGTCGCTACGCCTCTGGTGGGCTTGCCAAACATGAGACAATTCTATCATGTCAGGTGGACGAAACTAGATCAAAGAGGATGGAATAACAATAAAGACACATCTTGGGATCAAGGTGGCCGCCCGCTTTGATGGCAGAGACATGCCTTAAGGGAAAGACATCCGCCCTCCATGGACAATACAACTAGCATATAAAGTCCATTGTTATGCGCCGGTCACACCTTAGTGATCAGGTGACTAATGCTTATTTAAACGACAGCGGTCATCGCGGAGCTAAGTATTTCGTAGTGAGCATCAAACAAAGCAGAATTAATGGTGATTGCTTTGCTATGGTCTCTTTCGTTACCTCGAAGAAAGGTATCAGGACATTAGTTTCTGGTGAATTTATGTTTGCCATAAGCAGGCAAAGATATTTGGAAATGTGAAATTAGGACATGTCGAGCAAGAGTTCACACAATACATGATCACATAGTATTGGAGAGGTGTGATCATAACGATGTACCTACCAGAAAAGAAACTTACACGTTATGTTTGTGTTGATTATGCAATAAAAACAATAGTTTTACGTTACAAACCCGAAGACCCATTCACATTTTTGAAAACTATTTCGCGTGTTTTGAACATTAATGTTGTATGGCGACCGTTATTTTGTTTTATACATTATCATTTATTATACATTTCAGGCTAACAGAAAAAGTTTGTTTTAATTTTTATTTTTTTCAAATCAAATGCTACTACAATTGCTTAATACACCTTTTGTTGTTTTGTTAGGTTTCACTAATTTATTTTATTCACAATTATTTATACGTAAAAAAGTAAACAAAACCATATTAACAGTCAATAAAAAAAAGTTCAACTAAAATCATCGTAAATACTATTAAAATTTCGCTGTGAGATATTTTGTTTGAGATATTTTGTCTGAGATCATTTGTCCATGGTATCATTTGTCCTGATATATTTTGTCCTGGTATCTTTTGTCCGTGAGATCATTTGTCCTTGAGATCATTTGTCCTGAGATCATTTGTCCTGAGATCATTTGTCCGTGAGATATTTTGTCTGAGATATTTTGTCTGAGATCATTTGTCCTGAGATCATTTGTCATGGAACCATATATATATATATATATATATATATATATATATATATATATATATATATATATATATATATATATATATATATATATTATCAAGAAAATTACTGTTTCGAACTTGGAGTTTCATCGGGCAGATAAGCTAGAATTCACCTTTTGGACCTCACCAAATTAAAAGATATTGTCTAGGGCAGGGGTCGGCAACCTGCGGCTCGCTAGACGCACGCGGTTCTTTTATGTCAAGTTGCGGCTCTTCGGCTCCATGCACAAATATTAATAATTATTATGTTATTTTCAAAACTCATCAAAAATATTGTTATACAACACTTGGTAATGAATTAAATAATTATAAATTTAAACAAACTCTCGCTATTCTATTAGAATATATAGGTACACCCTATTTTCAATGTACTTCCTATTAAATTGTTCATCCCGAATTGAAACATTCAACTATATAGGTACACCCTATTTTCAATGTACTTCCTATTAAATTGTTTATCCCGAATTGAAACATTCAACTATATGATGGATATCACAAAGAAACTAAATTAGCTAAATGTTAAACTACAAGGAAAGGAAAACTCAGCCTATGCCTTGCTTGAGAAGTGGATGTTTCGAAAATAAATTACTTTTTTTTTTGCTAACGACACGGAGAGTGGTAAATTACTTGATTTCGAAAAATCTGAAAATTAATATTTTATGAAACCAATGCAACGATTAGCATGAATTGCTTCAGCATTACAGCAAACAAAACGAAGGATGGATTCACTGAGAGCAATTCAAAACAAATGCAAGTACTTTGACGTTCATGGTAGACTCTCTCAACACAAAAACAAATGAGATTAACTTTGAGCTATTTAAAATTTATGCTGTTTTGCTTTAAATGCAATTGCTGGATTTAAAAACGACTCATTTGTGGAGAGGAAAATTCACAGAACTCAAGAGTAAGTAAAAGTAGTTGAAGGTCCAGTAAAACATGCAGGTTACGTTGCACAACTGGACAGCTGTAAAAGAAATATCGTGAGTGGAGGCACTCATATGTGACGCATGGAATAGTCTTGCAAGATGGTATAGTAACGTGGAGAAGTTGACATCGGGAGTGCTGATGATCTTTAGGTCAAGATATTCGTGCTCGCAAGAGTTCTCTTACATGAATATAATAACAAGTTAAGTAAGAAGGCAACTAACAAATACAAATCTAGAGGCGTGCTTAAAACTTAAAACAAGAAGTTATGAGCCAGATTTAAACAAACTTTCAAACGGCATGAAAGGTCAATGCTCCCATTGATGTAACTAATGTAAATATTTAATGATTATAGCTATATTTTTGGATTACTAATTTTATAAATTTTTTTTTAAATACTATAATATGTATTGTGCGAAACATGTGCATTTTTAAAAACTATGAATAAATATTATTTTATATTTAAAGCTATATATTTAAATTATATATATATATATATATATATATATATATATATATATATTTATTTATTTATTTATATATATATGCATATACACCTAAACCTAAATATTGAAAAAAAAAACGTTTGTGTCTCTTTAAGAACTGGTAAATTTTGTAAATTGCATATTTTGGCTCTTCCGTCGGAAAAGGTTGCCGACCCCTAGTCTAGGGCAGATGAGGCTCGTTAGCTAAGGACAGCCAATCTTCTAGGAGAGACAACTCCAAAGTCAAACACACTGCTGCCTTGTAGTTTATTCTTGGTTGGACAAAGGCTATGGAAGCAAATCCAAAAAGAAAAGCAGACTAAAACGGAGTCAATGGCCTCAAAGGCGCATAACCAGTTGACACGCATCCTTAATTGTGTTGGAGGGGGATCCCTTCCAACACAAAAATTAAGAACGAAGAAGAAGAAGAAGAAAGATATTGTGGTCAACACTATCCTCAAAAGTGTTTACTTTCCATAACGTAATGTCAGGAACCCATCAGAGTTGGGAGGACTCAGATACATTCAACGGCCTCAGGTAGATATAATATATTACGAGATTTTCGAGATTCGCTGCGTCGATTTTTTTTTATTTTGAAATACGAGACCAATTTGAGATACGAGGATCCGAAAATAGCAGACCACACTGTTCTTAAACAAAACCGAAAATGTTGCAATAGGAATTGCATAGAATTGTTTAATAGCCCGTAACTTATTTCTAAAACGAAGAAAGAAACTACCATGGACATAAATAGCATGTAATTGAGTTAGTTCGAAGTGAGTTTTCATACAAGCCCAACGCACTAATTAAGACTGTCGCAAGAGATGTAACATTTGTCAATGAATTTTCATATTTCAGTGTGCGCTTTTCTGTTTGCGCTTTTTTCTGGTTGCACATTTTTCTGTTTGCGCATTTTTCTGTGTGCGCAAATTTCTTTATGCGCTTTTTTCTGTATGCGATGTTTTTCTGTTTGCGCTTTTTCCGTTGCGCATTTATTTGCGTTTTTTCCCGTTGCGCTTCTTTCTAGTCATCGTGTAAGTGGCTGTGTTGCAATTTGTATGTGTCATGTGCAGTGGCGGAACTAGAAAAAAAGTTTTCACTAACACGGTACCAATCGTGTATTTATTTTAGACTTTTGCCTAGTTTTCTACTTTATCGATCTTGAAATTAAGTTTAACTCTATTTTGTTGACAGGCAAATAGTTTAGATGCGTGTTATAAATCGATATTTAAAAATAAAGCTTTACTGGGGTTTATTTATGCTGTACCATTTAGATCAAGTGCTTTGCGTCATTTTATTCTGGCAGGTAGACAAACGCTCATAAAATTAAAACACACATTCTTTTGATTTAGACCCAAAAGTTGTTTTAATCCACTTACAAACTTATAGAGTTTTAAAATAAATACAAACAAAAGCTTATAAATTAGTCAACAACTTAAAAAGTTCGTGTTAAAACTACAACTATAAAAGAAAATGAAAATGTTTAGGTCAGTATTTTTACAAAGGCTTGGGTAGTGTTTTTTGTTTTATCCGACGTGTTTTTATTTAAGTTTGGTTAAAGATGTTTTTATTATGGTTACAGATATGTTTGTATTGATTAGAAATATGTTGATGTATATGTTTTCGATGTGTGTTTGTTTACTATAATTTCCTTATTTTTAATAAACCAAAAAAAGACTAAATAAAATCACACCAGAGATATTATTTTTAGATAATGTAGAAAAGCATCAAAAGTATTAATCCCAAATTATTAGTACATTAACCATGTCGACCCCCCCCCTCCCACACTTCCCAAGACTTAGTCTCATATAATAATATCCAGATCAAGTCCCTATAGTAATTGCCTCCACCCTAAACAAATATTACATAAAATTAAACTGAAATTTATTGACATAAATGAAACAATATTCAAAAAATTAAGTTCCATCTGGAACACATAGTGACAGAAACACAATGTAGTGAAAATAGAATCACTTTAAATCATTTATTTGACGAACATTGATGGTGGCACAGCGGTTCGGTCAGCATTGATAGTGATATAGGCCTATATTTCAAAAGAAAAATTGGCTAGACAACAAAAACAAGCAGCCTCACATTTAGGATGTAAAAAGTTTTACCCTTTCAACATTAAAATCAGAAATTTGATAAATTATCCAGCAAGTTAAAAAAAAAACAACACAGCATGAAAGAATTGTATTCCCATTCACCATTACTAACTCCCCTTACACCAACAACATAATAGCAACTTTATAAAAAAAAATACAAATCAGCCAGCCACAAATATAGTGTACTATTAGTGAAGCGGAAGTAATATAGTAATAAATGTGGGAGGTTGTTTTCTATGGGGGGGGGTAATATCCTACTAAAGTTCTTTGGAAAAAGAGTAATTTTCGTGTGTGTGTGTGTCGGGGGGGGGTAATGTCAGGAGTTTATTGACGGGGTAATATCTTCGTTCCACATTCAACAACAGAAAGATTGGTAAAATTTCATTTTTTAACTCGAAACAGCTTTATAACACCCAAAGAACTAGCCATTGGTCTCTCCCGAAGCCATGGTATGTTTGATCCAATATTTGTAGAAGGTCACGCGTGAGTAGAGACCAGGATAGCCTGGCGTCCCACAGACGTTGCCGGATGCCACTATCCCAACTTGGTACCAGCGTCCACTCACCTCACACATCAGTGGCCCACCTGAGTCACCCTACGGAAGGAATTACCATTTGCTTTTAAAAGATGCTTTCAGAAATTTATACTTAGCACTGCACTATTTTAAATAATAAAATTACATTCTAAATAATCTATATCTATATATAATTATCTACGTGGGGACCATGCGGGACACCTCCACGACCACCACGTAAGCGCGCCCAGCAGCCCCCTCTCTTCCTCTCTAGGCATATCGCTACCACCCCCACTTCCACCGCTAGTGACAGCTACTTTAACAAAAATTGGTTTTACCGAAAAGAAAATGAACATAGAGTGGAAGGTTTCCCTTGAACTTTCTCGTATATTATTTTTCTAAATAGAAAAGAATCGCGTAGAAAAAGAATTGTGCACCAAATGAAAGCTAAAACTGTGTGTACTTTATAAAGGAAACATTGATTATTTTAAAAAGGTTAATTAAATATCTCTCTGAGCCACACGTTTCATCACAGTGCATTGTCATCGAGTCTTGACCTACGAAAAAAGTCTTGACTTACGTAAGAATTAGTGCGGTAGAAGTGATATTTTTTTAAGAAATGGGTTAAATTACCACTTCCGGGTATCGGAGTTCACTCAAAACTTGAAGGTAATCGAAGTATAAGATCTTATACTTATATATGAAATTTCTTTAACCTTACTGAAACAGTAATCAAGCTATCGTGTTCACATACACATCGACATGGAGAAGTAAAACGCCGAGATTTGTAAAGTCTCGATTTCGATTTTTGCACGATTACAATACTTCCTCTATTATTGTGTGATTTATAATAATTAAACTTGTAGAATAGATAATGTAAATTGCAACAGACTAGGCATAATTTTTGTGTGGTCTTTTTTAAATGAAATCTCAATATTGAAATAACCTTACCCAACATACATCCTGAATAATCCCATTTCCATCTTGATCTTCTCCAATTGCGCAAACCAAGGGTGGTTGAATGGAAAAAGATGGTTCAAAGTTGGACACGGTGATGTTGCAGTTTTCTTGGGTCATAATCGTCAGAATCACTGAATGGGGAACATTGCTGCCGGGAGAGTCTTCCGCTGCAGTAGTAGGTTTGATGCAAAACTTAAACAAATGACTTGAATGTTTTATAACTATATATATTTATTGGGGTGTGAAGTGGGGAGGCTTCAATACTTTACTTAATTCATTTAGTGATTAGGGGTCATCTATAAATGATGATATTCTTTTTTTGACGATTTATACCTCACCCCCTCCCCTCCGTCACACATCGACACAAAAGGCCTGACCCCCCCCCCCCTAAAATGACGTCACACCTCAGCCTATAACCCCACTCACAATTGCAGTTGAATTTTTCTATTTTTTCTAAAATATCGATATTTTTTCAAAATCTTGTCTGAACTCTATCAACATAGAGTATTTTTAATCAATTTGTATTACAATTTATTAAAACAGTTTCTAAAACTCGAAATAACGACTAAAATACGTTTTCTAACATTGTGTTTTTTAATTGCTAAAGTGTGAAGTCACATCATCTGAATCTCCTCCCTCTCGTCACACAATGTCACAAAATTACGGGACCCCCCCCCCCCCGCCCCTCTTCGACTGTGACGTCATCTACGGACGACCCCTTATTCTACCGTATATTTTGTGTTGTCGAGGAAGGTAGCAATAAAATATAAGTTGAGTGGCTCTATTATGCGGGGTTTTTTTAAAATGTTTTTTTTATTTTGTGTGGATGTTGGATGTATATACGCGAGTGGCTTGAATATTTATTTGTTCTATTTGAGTTTTGCGATTATTTGAATACTAGGCATGCTGCCCAGCTTCGCTTAGGCTTTCGAAAACATTGAGAATTTGAATGCTTAATTAATTCGCCCGAGGGTCGGTCTACGACCTCAGGAGTTATGAAGAGGTTCCTACGTGGACATTTTTTTTCGATTTATAGCTCATATAAGGCGCCGGTCAGTCGAGGTCAGTAGACTTTTCGGCCAACCGGCCCCCTTGTTCTGTCGCCCCAAGGCAAGATCCTGCCAAATTTGAAGCACCTGCGGCGCCGGGAAGTGCCCTACCGACAACTTTGCTTTATATATTGTAGAGATTAGCAAATTGCATAGATAAACAAAGATTTCAATAACGTAATTAAGGCCTGAAATACTTTAGTATAGAAATGTATTATTTGAATATATTTTAGATCTAGGTAGGGTCTACATCTGTGTAAGTCTAGTTTTTCCGTAGATCTAGATCATCTAGATCTAGATCTAGATCTAGAATCCTAATAGAATTTTTTTTGAAAGTTTAGCCCGAGCAAAATTGTATTGTATAAATTTTATAGCGTACGTAGATCTAAATCAAATTTGAATGAAATAGTTCATTTCTTTTTATTCTAAACACGGCAGATGACGTCATTAGTTAATGTATAAACATTAGTGACGTCACTGTTTTATGCATTCTTTTTCACAAATATAAAAACTTTTCCTGTTGCATAATTAAAACAGTTTATCTACATTCGAATACGCCTTTATTTTTTATTTTTCTTCTTTAAATAAAATTGTGGTTATACATTTAAAACATTTAACATATTATTTTCAACAAAAGTCCGTATAAAGGTATCCATATATCGCTGCCGATTCTGACGTGATATCCGGCGAAAATATTTTGCGGACAGAGAGAGAGAGAGAGCAGCCGATCAAACACTATTTTCTATGAAAGACTCAATGAAATTATCAATGACAGTCAATGATAACTACCGCTCTCCTGTCTTTTTCTCTCGAGAAACTCAATGATAAAGCGTTAGTAGTTATAAAGAGAGAGAGAGTTTATCAAAACGGAAATAATTCAACTCGTTTAATTAATAAAGCGTTAAACGTAATTATTAATTCTTAATTTCTCAGCGATTGATACAATTGTTTAGGGACAGTTAAACTATTTTTTAAAAATATAGATCCTCGATCTTCATTTATAATTTATTAATAAAAATAAGATTTTTAAAAAATAATTAAAACAGGTCTTTGTACTATATTATTAAAAAAAACAACTAATGAATATAATAAATAATTTTGACTATTTCTCATTCTAAACCTATCGAATATCTTTTTTTTTTTAAAATGCAAGGTAATCTTTTATAGAACCTACATGATTAACTTTTCTTCTAATAATAAAAAAAAACTCTAAATAAAAACTATTATTCCTACAAATATTAGAGTAGTCTCCCTTGACAGTTTCTATTCGAATGTATTTTGTGTTAATTTTCGTTATGAAATACAGTTGACTTTTTAAATTAATTATATAAGAAAGCTATCTGTCTCTGTGTATATTTATTTTAAAAAATATTATTACAATAATTAGAATGGGTGTTTCTGGTTAAATAGCAATTATTCTCATTCTAAATCTTTGGCTATCGAGTTTCATGGGTTTTTAAATTTAAGATTATGAACACATTGGCTTGACGAAAATGATTATATACAGTTCAATACATACTAAAATTTACTTTTGTTAATAAACCTACACTATTTTATGCACACATACAAAAAAGAATATTTTAGCGGCAGTTACAACGTCAAAAAAAAAGGAAACTCCTTTATACTGAATAGTTCTACGTAACAACAAAAATGTAAAAATACATAGTCCTAGAGCACACTAACACATACATATATATATATATATACGAAGATATGGGTGTGTGTAAGTAGGATGTGTGGTGGGTAGACAGGCGGGGTGGAAGGAAAGCAGTTTGGCAGGAATAACGGTAGGTAGGAAAGTAGGTAGGCAGGCAGCAGCGCAGGCAGGTTAGTAGATAGGTAGGTACATAGGCAGGGAGTTAGGTATGTAGGTAGGTGGGCCTAGGTAGGAAGGCGCCTCACTCGGTATAGTGAGCGATTATAGTAGCCCATCATATTCATAGCGTTTCGCAATTATTAAAACGAACAAAGGTACCATATTACTCACGGGAAAACACGGGGAGCTAAATGGAACCCTGCCAGGGCGCCACCAAATCGATTTTTTTTTCGCAGAAACCACCACAGGGGTATTAGCATTAATTTCTCAGATTTGAATGACAAACGAATGAAATCTTTGGTAATGCTTATACAAACAAACCCACATATTCGTTTTTGGGGCGCGGGTTTGTCCACACTGCCGCCTAGACGCACCAAGGCTCATTGTATGAAAGCCTTGAGTGTACGTTAATCAACCTCTGTAATAGTGAGGTAGAACACACATTGCGACCGCCCATGTGTTAGAGACGCGTCCCTTGGCGCTCCAGGGAGCCACTGGTTATACTCCCGCAGGGGCGCCCCTAATTCGGTTTAATTATAAAATGTCGTGTGCCACCGTGTCCCTATTGTAGGGTGCTCTTTAAAGAGGCACTCTCTGTAGAGCCCGGGGCGCTTGCTGTCGCCAACTGCCAGGGCGCCGGCGGGCGCTCATTATTCTACTTAGTGAACATTTATAGTAGCCCATCTAAACCGTAGTGTCGCCCGAGGTGGGTCTTGGCCGCTCTGGGCCACTCAACCGCCAGGAAGCTGGCGGATGAACCTGGTGTAGTTTTATCACTGAATCTCAGAGGCGGAGCACCATTCCTGGCGCCTGGGGACAAATTTTCAATTTGGCGCCCTCCCCCCCCCCCTCCCGCCGGAGACAAACTTTCAATTTGGCGTCCCCCCCCCCGTATTTTTTAAATATTTATAATGCAAAACTGTAGCTAAAATGAGCTTTTAAATTTTTCCCACCCATTTTGGCGCCCCTAGGGTTGGCGCCCGGGGACATATGTACCCCCCGCCCCCCTCGCTACGCCTCTGCTGAATCTAGTATTACCTATGACCGCAATTGATGAGATAGCCCCTCTGGATTCCTCTCTGGATTCTGAGCTCATAATCGTATAATGAGAAAAATCGAATCCTCCCAGGGTGCCACACTTAAGAATTTTTTTCTTTCTCGAAACCCTTTTCACTAACTCCCCAAAATTTTATGACTCTCGTACGAACAGTGTCAAATTGCATCTGGCTTTTATTTTTATGGAGAAAAATTGCATTGCTTCCTGTCAGAGACCCCAGATCGAATGGGGCGCCAAAAGGGGTAGACATTTTTTTTTTTAAAATCCTCATTCTTCAGTAAAATTTAAGAAAACAGATTTATCCATGACTGATATCCTCAATTATTTTATATAGGGGAGTGTATGTAGGGATGGGCGCCTTTTTGCCAGCGTTTGAATAGGGTTGGCACAACAGTGATAGTTCGCCCCGGGCGCCGGAATAGGTTGCTACACCTCTTCTTCCTGCTAGGGCGCCGCCCTGGCGAAATCTTTCCGGCGGGGTGGGCATGCGGACACTGTTAAAAGTATATTTTTTTTCTATATAAATTCCGTTTCGTTCGGGGGTGGGGGGGGGGGTCGATAGACTTTCTTCGGGGGGTGGGGGGGGGGGGATCTACATGGACTACCTACAGGTCCCAACTCGCGACGAGGTACACATTTGTATTAAAACACACATCTAAGACTCAGTGTTTCTTCCAGACTTTTTTCTCCGGGGGGCGGTAGACTTTCTTCGGGGGGGAGGGCGGTAGACTTTCTTCGGGGGGGGGGGGGGCGGACACTTTTAAAAGTATATATTTTCTATATAAATTATATAAATTTCATTTCGTTCGGGGGGGGGGGCGGTAAAAAATTTTCGGGGGAGCTAAAGCCCCCCCCCCCCCCCCCCCGAAGAGATGCCTGGAAGAAACTCTGTCTAAGACATTTTCCATTTAGGTGGGTTTTGCAGTACAGTGGTTTCTTAAGTCGTGGACAAATGATTGCGCTTATCTCTATTGAGTAGCTATGTATTCTGTCCTATATTAGACACATTTGTAAATATCTGTCACAATATGGGCATAGAGATGATATAACGATAGCTTATCTTTGCGGACGACGCTAAACTTTGGCATCGACACCACCGCTTACAAGTTCAAATTCGGTCCTTCAGAAATGTTTGAAGTCTCTAGATTAAAACTACTTTTCTCTTTTATGTGCCTACTGACCACATCACAGTCATGCATTTGTTCTGAAAGTCTAAAAACAGAGGCACAAATATATCGTCTAGACTTGTGAGGTCTACAGATTAGGTATTTTGGCAGTTATCTAAGCCTTTGCCTGTTCTGACTCAAAGCCTTATTCTTTCTCTATCGACGCCTTGCGTAACATGGGATTGGGTTTTTAAGGCGGCATAAAGCTTTATGTTCTTCCTTTTTGAGTACACTAGATTAAAAACTAACGTTTTCAGATGCCTAAAGATGTTTAACCACTCATTAATCAGAATAATGGGTCAAGATTTCAATTCTTGGTTTTGGGACACGTTAGTTGCCGGGGTTGAGCTAATGTCGATAGCATAAGGACTGTACCTTGATGCGGGCGTTTTATTTGTTGCCCATCGTAATAATTGAATGGTTGATGGGGCTTCTTCAAGGGTTTGATTTGCCGTAATGTTAATGATATCATGCATGTGAGGCTTTTCTAAGAAGAAAATGCGTTAAAACACTTTTTAGTTATGCTTTTTTAAAAATAGGCCTATATTTTACGACAACATAATCGTAATGAACAATAAAATGAATTTAAACAACTTTAGAATACACCTGTTTCGGCTAACATGAATGTTATTCTTCAAACTAGTAATGTTAAACGTGTCTTTTTCGCATTTTCGACTTATAAGCAATACAGTAAATTCCGATAACTTCCATATGCGTACAAGCAATGGCGTAGGCGAGGAGGGGTTTAATAGTGATTTAATAATGATACTTTCTTAACCCTCTACTGGACATCATGTTTGGTACCTTGCCCCCGGCAACTGGGTGGATTTGGATTACACCCAAGTTTTACTTCATAGTAAATGACTTCAGTTTTAATTATTGGAGTTGGTAGCAACATTGACACAGTTGAAGGTATTCAGAACAAGGTGGCCAGGAGAAATCACATTAATTAGTATAAAATTTACCATTACTAACAATAGGCCTTACTTAATTGTTTAATGTTGCTGGATATTAAGCCTGGTAGGTATTTATGTTTATTAATTTGTACAGAAACAAAAAAAGGATTCCCAAACAAAGTTTTATTTTTCAGAAATAAAGAAAATGATACAAATCAATAAAGAACAGTTTTCAAAAGAATTTGTATAAAAGTAATTATTATAAAATAGGAATATAGCATTGCATAGATAAAAATAAAATACTTGACACAAACAATATGAGGAATATTTTTTATCAGAGAGGAGAAAAATATATGATGTAGTTTGAAAATAATAATGTACAGAATGTAGCTTTTGCAGATTAAAATGAAAATTCTCATGCCTATATAATTTATTGAGTAAATGAAGCAAGGCCCAAAACACTAGGCTAAATACTATGCATGGGACAGGCATTGAAAACTACAAATTGCATAAAGTGAAGGTTACCCTATTTATTGGCTATATCCACAGTAAAGATTTATGGCTTTATTACCTGCTTGTAAAATTGTTAAGGAAAAAGTGAAGTATTGTTAACGGCACATGTTGTCATTTTTTGTGTTCTCGACACATGTTGCCATTTTGTGTGTTCTGGGAACATGTTGCCATTTTGTGTGTTCTGGGCACATAATGACATTTTGTGTGTTCTGGGAACATGTTGCCATTTTGTGAGTTCATGGAACATGTTGACATTGTTTGGCTGTGTTCTGGGAACATGTTGCCATTATTTGGCTGTGTTCTGGGAACATGTTGCCATTTTGTGAGTTCATGGAACATGTTGACATTTTGTGTGTTCTGGGAACATGTTGAAATTATGTGGCTGTGTTCTGGGAACATGTTTGTTTCATTTTTAAATATTATAATAAAACATTTTTAGAAATTCTATATTAGGAATTGTGTATATATATAAATTTATATATTTAATAAGACAATTGGATGAATTATAATAAACAGCAAAAATGATTCAAATAAGTTTAGAAGTATTTGGCTTGATGTCCCAACAGTTAACTGTATTCCGAGCTTGTTTCCCTAGTGATAACCCATCTTTTTTGTGCCACCCTTCCAATCAAATATCCAGCTTTTTCTTGGCCTGTATCATATTGCTGGTTATAGACTTGCTTGATTTGTGTATCACAATATGATTTTGAATGTTCTTCTGTAAATGAAATAAAGACAAAATATTTTGAAATATTCTTTTGTGGAACTAGCAAGAGAAATACATTACAAATTTATATTACTATCTCTACTATTTCTTTACTATAACTAATTACTTTGAAAAGATAAAGCACTGAACATGATGAATAACAAGAAACAAACATTATCAGCAAATATTATAGATTTAAAATTGTGTTAATTCATATTGAAGATTAATGAAGTAGACTATCAATATTTACCCTCTTGATAGCTGATACTTTGATTTGATGTCTTTACTTTAAGCTTACACATCAGTCTCTGTGTGGTAAAATATGAAATAATATGCTTCAATAAAACTGTTTCAGTATATTAATTATATTAGATAAGTACATAGTTTTGAGCTCTATAACAATATGTGTTTCAATTATCATTCAAATATAATACCCTCTATGTTGTACAACTCACTGATTTATTAGAATTTAAGAAAAGACAATAATTAATAAAATATTTTGGATTAAAATCCATTATATTTATTTTAACATATAATGCTATCTCTTGCTATAATAATTACTTTAAAAAATGAGTTATGCCTATAGTACAGTTACCTGAGGATGAAACTAGGCACAGTGTATAGTCCACGGAGACTGATTAATATCCCTTGTAATTGAACATCAGTTGTAGTTATGAAATCTTGATGACCAAACACACACTCATAGTCCTGAAAAGCAATTTACACATAGATTAGCAAGAATATCTCACAAATTATTAAATTAAAGCTAACCCCTATTTAGTGCAATCCATCAAAGTAGTAGCATTTTTGTTAAGTTGTAGACAAAATACAAAGTAATGTTTGTTCTGTGATTTACATACTTTTATAAAATAGCAATATATATATATATATATATATATATATATATATATATATATATATATATATATATATATATATATATATATATATATATATATATATATATATATTCATTGTAAATTTTAGTTATGTCTTGCTATTAAATTTATTTACTCGACTGATCTAAACTCACTTTATTTAAACATAATATAGTGGATAAGTATAGTGATTTTATTATTCAGCAATAAATAGCAGGCCTAAAAAAATTAAAATAGTAACGTTTGCGAATAAACACATTAAATTCTATGTATTTCCATTTCTATGTCTTTCCCAACTTGATGCATATTACTAACCAAGCATTAAACTATAGTCCTAAACCTGACTCTAATTATCATTTATCGGACAACCTGAACCTTTGCGATACCATGTTATAATATATTATTTTAAAAAAGAGCTTACCACTTCTTTCTTCTTCTTCTTCGTTCTTAATTATTAGTGTTGAAGGGGATCGAGATTTATTTGTTCCAATTTATTAACCATGAACTTTTTGCCGACTCGACCACGCCTCCAACAGAATTAAGCGTTACGTGTCAACTGGTTATGCGCCATTGAGGCCATTGACTCCGATTTCAGCCTGCTTTTCTTTTTGGATTTGCTTCCATAGCCTTTGTCCAACCAAGAACAAACTACAAGGCAGCAGTTGTTTAATTTTGGAGTTGTCTCTCCTAGAAGAGTGGCTGTCCCCAGCTAACGAGCCTCATCTGCCCGAGGGTTCGAACTCGAGACTTTTCGGTTTAGCAACCATGAGCTTTACCGACTCAACCATGCCGACCCCCAGCTTACCACTAATTACTAAAATCAATTGTTTTTAGTATTAACTGAGCCGCATACTATTTTCTCCTATTGTCATCACCAGAAATCCAGTATGTTGGCAAAGATTAGTCTCTAAGTTCCCTGCAACCTCCTTCCTCTTGAGTGCGGAAAACACTGAAATTATTAATCATTATTTCATTATGCCTAATAGTTTAAAGGTAGTATTAAAGTAGTACTAAATAGTATGAGTCTTAGTTACTATAGGTCTAATGATAATTATTATTGTGTATGCTTACATGCTTTAAGTTTTATGCACAATATTGGTATATAATGATATAGTCTATAGTATATAGCCTAAGCTATAGAGTATATAGGCCTATAAGCCTAAATATAACAGCAGCTTGAATAATGCTCATTAGCATGCATTCACTATAAACTATAAAGATAAACAAATATTTCAATTTAATTTAATTATAACTAATAATAGTAAATAGGCTTTTTTCTTGTGGTAACAAATTTAAAGTATAGGGCAGTACAGTTATAGTATAGGCCTACTAGATTCTATATTTAAGTATGTGGGCTTTTCATTCCAATGCACCACAATAGATACCACACATGATCAAGCTTGACCTCTGATCTAAAGATTTAATAATTGGGCCTAACAAACAGTGAAACTACAATAAAAATCATGTAAATTACTAATTTAACCTTCTTACCTCCGCTTCTCTAGATCTAGATGGCAGATGGGTTTTCTTTTTATGCAGCCGTATGATTAGATTCTAGAATCTAGACTATATTCTAATAAACATCAAATAACTACTAACCAGAACACTAGATCTAAATTTCTATATTCTAAGAAATATGTATTAAACCTATAGGCCTAATATTTATTTTAAATTCCTATGCGATGTGTCGTGAACTGTAGGTTTCATGTTATTTTTGTAATGGCGGAAATCAGTTTAAAATTTCGTTTCCTTCCTTTTGTTATTCTATTTATAGATTCAAAAGCCGGAGCAATTATCATTGAGTTTGTCGGCTGATCCACACAGGAAGTGACCGTATATCTATTAGTTACTCAGTGATCCGATCATTGACAGATACAGAGATAGCCATTCGCATGGGGTGGAGAGAGAGAGAGAGAGAGAGAGAGAGAGAGAGAGAGAGAGAAGTGCGCACATGGGCTATTACATATTAGGATGGCAGTAGTAGTCTGCACTGAAAGTATAGTTCTCTTTGTGTGGAATTTATATAAAGTTCCGGTCGTGATGTGTATTTAGGTCATACGACCACGAGAATCAATCTTTCAATTGTGTGAGACCCAGTGGGCCCCTTCTTCAGCCGTTAGGCTACAATGGAGTTAAACGAAGGAATCAAATGTTAATTAAGATGGAGGGTTTTCAAAGATTTAATATTCTATACAGTTTATATTTTATACGTCCGGATTGTGTATTTATACTATATTATTATGGAGGCATACAACCACTTAGTTTCGTAAAATGTTACAGGCTTACAGTTAATTTTTTTTTGGCAGGGCAGAGGTGCGGTCCAAATCAGATGACACCATGACAAAAGATTGTAAAATTTACTTTCAAATCTAAGTTATATCCATCTAAAATATAAAGATAAGTGAGAGAGGGCTAACACCCCACCTAAATCGCACAGTTGTTGGGGGCGATGGGGTGACACATTTATTGTAGTGTTCATGGGGGAGCCTGGGGCACACCGGGTTACACTACCCCGGGGCGCTGGTTGTGCAATTTCCCCGCAAATTAAATAGTAACGCTGACTCTCTGCGCCGGACACCCAATCAACGGACCCCAGATGTTAAGAAAGCCGCTGGGAAACTCTGGGTGGCAAATAGCACCGTCATACTGATGGAGCCCCGTCATCTATATATAATTCTCTTCATGGGGACCATAGAAGACACCACGCAGCTTAGCTACCACCCTCACCCCCACCTGTCAGGTGAGCTGTGGTTCACCCCGAATGTTTACATTATAAGTGACGGCTATTAGGAGCAGATAAATCAATTTTTAAACGATGTGAAACTAAGGGGATATAATAACATGTTCTTCTTGCTCTTTTCGTTGTCGCCTGTAAACTGTCTTCACAGACGACGGAGGCGGAGTGGGGGGGGGGGGGGGGGGGGAAGAGGAGTGGAGTGGAAAGTGAGGGCGAGGATAATCGTCCTTCCTTAGCTACTGATAGTATTTGAAAGCAAAATATTTTCAGCCGCAGCATTAGTAGTGTTGAATTCACTAACTATGAATTACTGAAAAATAGGAGTTAAACTAAATAGAGGCGTATGCTACGTCGCGGGTCAGCTCGTACGAAATAAAGTAAGAAAAAGAATTCCGCCAGAAACCTTCCTAAATGTCAGAGTTTTTTAGAAAATTGTCTAGGAAAAAACACTGCCATGCAGTATTCATAACAACTTTCCAAAGTTTCTTTGCGATTGGTTGAAAACCCAAAACTTATAGTTTTAGTCGCGCCATATTAAAAAACGAGAAAACTGGCCCGTTGAGGAAGGATACAACGGTCGCTAGGTTGATAGTGCTGTCTATTTTCTCTAAACTAAAACCAAAATCATAATCACCACCTTAATTCAATTTAACCCGAAACGAAAAAGGACATTGAAAACGGATTTTTATCCTGAATCGGTACTTTAATTTATACAAAATATAGTCATAGGCATATCCCTAAACCATGCACCTAATCTCATTCATGACAAAAGTCGCATTTAGAGTTTCTTTCTGACAACTCTACTTGGGAGGAGGGGGCTCTCCCCCCCCCCCCCACACACACACCCAAAAATATGTCTAGCGTCCCATTCAACGAAATATAATTATATACTTTTTCCAGTGTCCGCCCCCTCCCAGAAAATTCTACCCACGCCCCCGGGGAGGAAAAAGTCTGAAAGAAACACTGGTTGCATTTGTAGATCATACAAACTAAAGGGAGAACCTGGGCGGGGCTTTGCCCCTACCGGAAAAGATACATTAAAAAACTGTACACGCTAAACACTTTTTAGATTAGAAAAAGTTCCTCCCTCCTGGGAGGAAAAAGTCTAAAAGAAACACCGGTGTTGTGCTTAGCCACTACCCGAAGAATTGCATGAAAGAAACTGCACGCAAACCACTTTTTAGATTAGACACATGAATTAGGCTGTAATTGTATTATAGAGTATCGATGACGACATTTCTTTTGAGTGAGGGAGGGGGGGGGGTCGGCTTAGACGTCCTTACGCGGGGGATGGGCTTCGCCACTACCCGAATAATTGTATGAAAGAAACTCTTCACGCAAACCACTTTTAAGATTAGACAAAATTGGCTTTTTTAAATTCAATGTTTACTCGAGAATCAATGACGTCATATTACTGTGTGCACTCTCCGGCTTGATACTATTGTCTTGTCAGACAGATAGATATACAGACAGATAGATACATACACAGACAGCGAAACTATTATTATAGATTAATACATAGATAGATAGATAGACAGACAGCGAAACTATTAGTATTGATAATACGGGGGGTGGCAACTCGGGATATAGACAATATTTTAATCCATTTTCTATTGCTTAAAGTTTTTATAATAGAATAAAATCTCGTAGAAAAAAGAATTGCACACCAAGTGAACGCCGAATAAAATGTGCATAAAAGTGCGGGATATTATTAGTACTTTATAAATTCACATGCTTTTTTTTTGAGAGATCGGAAATAGCGTAACTTACGACTTCTGGTCAACGGAAATTACTCAAAATTTGATAGAAGGCAGAGAATTATATGTTTTACTTACTTTTGAAATTTCATTTATCTATCTGAAATAGTACTCAAGTTATAGGCTTTTAAAAAATTCAAAGTAAAAAAAGTTCCACTTCCGTTTATCGGAAATCGCTCAAAAGTCGATACGGATCTAAGATTTTGATATAATACTTACATATGAAATTTCATCAACCTAGCAGTAACGGTACTCAAGTTATCGTGTTTACACACATACAGACACACACAAAAATGTTTAACAATGTATAGAATTTAGTGCATGAGAAAAATGTAACCAACAATTTTAATGGAAAGGAATAGATAAACTACATTTACAAAATAAAACTCAACTAAACAAAACAGAACAGAACTTAACAGAACAAAACACGACTAAACAAAACACCCAATTTCGGACTAAAGTCCAGGCTTAAAAGAAATAGTTTTACGGAGTTTGACGATTTGATGGTGCTGCTCTGACTCTTGATGTTCCGGACGGTCCAGGCTCTGCACGAACAAGAGCCCACCTTCACGCGCACAATATCCAAAAGTATTTAGCCACCCCTGCCGGAAACTGACTTACACACACCTCGCACACTTCACGTAAACAAATAGTCCCTAATTCACAGATAAAAAAACAACACGCCACGAAACATACGACAGAATTATACAAAAAGAAACTTAATACAAACATTTACAACAATATAAGCAAAATATACACAAACTAGCCGTAAACAGGGACATAAACATCAACTTCTTAATGAAATCGACGCCACATACGACTAAAAACATTTGCTTTAAAACCAGATCAACAACTGACTCCCGTGTTAACGGCCAAGCAGCCGTAACCAACAATTCACCGTTGTCAGTTAGTTGATCGAGCGAATCTCAAGAACTTAATCCTGTTATCCACCCTTTTATTGTTGAATTTAGCAATCCTTAAATTAAATGAGTTTAGAATGGATATTCTTGCATTGTTATCTGAGAAAATGTATCTGGAAAGTTGGAACGAAATCGCTGCATTAAAAGTGGGTTTCATTTAAGTTACAAGATTTGCCTTAAATAAAAAAAAAACAAGCAAATAAACGGACATTATAAACTAAATAAACGCTAATAAAAGTTTTTCCACCTTGCTCTAATGATCCCCATCCTGAAGCAGTGCATCGGCTTTCTTTAAAAAACAAGTCAGTTTCATCGATGCAAATTGGTGAGGTGTACATGGTGTACTTGACTGGTTTATTGAGGTGGATAAGGGCAACGTCCCAGAGATCAGAATCTGAAGTGTCTGTCGTAAACAAGTTATGTTAAAACTGTAGGTCAACAAGTTACTAACTCTTTTAAGTTGTAGTTAATGAAGTCATGTAATACATGTACTAATGAGCACCAATGTAATATATCAACTTTTATGACTAACTTACTGTAACTTGTGTGACATCAATATTTTGCCCAAATATATAAGATTTCTATACTATGTTTACTTATGAATGACAGCTATAATTTGTGGAATTATAAATAGTAGCTATATTTTGTTAACAAATGACAGCTATACCTTGTTGACTTATAAATGACAGCTATAATTTGTGTACTTACAAATGTAAACTATTCTTTACTGACTCACAATGAGAGCTGTACTTTTCTGACTTACAGTTGTACAGTGGGTAGATGTACAATTTCTTGATGAACCTCATTTGGACGCTTTCGTTCTGGGTATCATCGACGTCATGTAGGCCGAGGTAAACTCTCCAGTTGCTGATGTTGGACTGTCCTATATGCACATCATCGCTGAAATGGAAAGTCTACATGTTTTATTTGAAATCATCTTTTTATTCAGTTTATGTTACCTGTCTGAGTCAAGTAAGTAAATTATTTCTTTCAAAACCTGCTGGTCCATTTAACGCTGTAGCCTACAAGTTGCGTTATTTTTATTTGAAACTAGCGTACCCGTCCCCGCACCACACTTCGGTGACCGCCCACGTGTCAGGGGCGTAGAGGGGCGCTCTCAGGAGACTTCCCCCCTCCCGATTACACTACCGCATAGGCGCGGCGTATGACCCCTGGCTCCCTAAAACCAACAAGCGCCATCGTGCCAAATAACATCCTGTTAACGATGAGGCAGATTGCGTCATGGGATAAAGTGACACAAATGAACGGGATTTTTCTTTAACACGTAAAAAAATTACTTGACGTGTTTTAAACATCAGTGTGACTGATGCAATATGTTAGCGTTATTAATAGTCTATTATTAGATGATCGATCTCAATTTTGGATTGGATTGTCTAAAAATAGATGCTAATTGCATCAAAGTGACGAAACTGTTTGAATTTGTTTACGGACAAAAAGAAACAACACAGTTAATCTAACCATGGTCAATTTTTCTGATTATTAAATAAAACGTATTACATGGTCTCATTTTTGTTTTCAGCCAAATCCCACCATACTAGGGCGCCAGCAAATACGCCTGATTCAATTTAGTGAGCGTTTGTAACGACCCATTCTATCCATTGGCTATCACACTGTTTAGACCGAACGTAGTCGCCATAGCGCTCACGGGAATGACCAGGGCTCCAAATCGCATCCTGCCGGGGGGGGGGGGGGGGGGTGGGGCTGCAAAATTAAATCGCCCTCCCACCACCACCCACCCACCTCACCCCCTCTCCCACCCCAGAAACCTTCTCGGGAGTATTCATCAACTCCCTAAAGTTTTATGGCAACCGGATAAACTTTGTCGAACCGCTTAAGAATTGGACTAAGTGCTTAATCTTCTTCTTCGTCTTTTATTTTTATAAACCGAACATAGAGAAAATCGCAAACTCCCGTGGCACCGCCCTTGCGAAATTAATTTTTTTTGCATAACTCTTCCAGGTAGTGTTCTAATCAACTCATCAAAGCCTTATGCTTATCGGATGAACGGTGTCAAACCAAAATAGACTTTTATTTTTATATACCGCATATAGAGAAAAAAAAATTGCGCCATGTCGGGGCGCCACCCCTGCGAATTTGATTATTATTTTTTTCAGAAACCTCCCCAGAAATATTCTCAACAATTTTCCAAAATTTCATGGCGATGTGATGAGAGGTAGTAATAATGAAAGACAAACAAACAGACACACACACATACACATACATTGCTTTATATATATATCTATATCTATATATATCTATATATATCTATATATATCTATATATATCTATATATATATATATATATATATATATATATATATATATATATATATATAAAAATTCGTGATATAGGCGGTGCCACATTATTAACTGGTCAAAAAATGAGACCCGCAAGTCCGCATAGTCTTTTGGAGGACTCTTAGAACTTAACAAAAAAAATTAATTGAAACTGTATTTAATTTAAATACGTGATAGTAGTTAATTGTGACAAAAAAAAAGGGTTGAAATGACATTTTAAAAAATTCCATTTTATTATTATGATGCTTCCTTTAATTTTTTTTATAATAGTGGATTATTTCCCTTGTGTTTTCATTTTATATTAAGACAAAATTTATAAGCTGATACTCACAAGAAGCAGTGGGCAGCAGTCAAGAACCAGCTGGGTGAGATTAGAGATCCGGCGCAGATACTTTTGAAGCCTGCATCTGCAGAAAATCTATTTTCTCGTTCGAGAAATTTATATATAATTATCTCATAGATTGATTACGATTAAACGACACAGAAATAAATTTGCATAAAATTATAATTTCATCGTGGTTTCTTATTATCTGTCTCATAGAAACCATTTATTTGGTTATGTCATAGCGTAGATAGATAGAAATAAGACTAGACTGGTAGAGATGAATAAGCACGGCGTAAACTTGAGTTGGTATTAACGGTAGACGATTTGGTTCGAGAGTATGTGTACGTGTTTAATAAAATATTTGTAGTGTAAGTGTGACGCGACAGTGTTAGTGATGACGTAGGACGCAGGAGTGAGGACAGTTGGGGGCTTAGCCTTTGCAGAGAAAGGACGTGTTTTATATTTAATAGCGTAGGCCTAGTATTGGTGATTGATAATTAAATATCAAGTTATATTTCAAGATTGGACTTGTTGGTATTATCAGTGTCGTCGGAAATAAGAATGTTCCCGTCCTCATCACATGTCTATAGAGTGATAGTAATAGAAGTAGTTCATCATACATAACGTAATACATTTCCCCTACCACATGTTTCATCAAACAAAGATATTGATCAAAGATATGTATTTTTATTGGTCAAGGGAGGGAAGGGGGGGGGGGGGGTCTTCTACCTAAACCTTTAAAGTATTGAAATGTTGAATTGCTAAGCATTATAGTTGATAGACTGTAGCATTTAATAGACTATTTTATATCTACGTTAGTAATATATATGTGTTTACATATTTATACACTTTAAACATTGAGCTGAAAATATTTTACAGTTTGACAAAGATTGTATTAAAAATGTCACCATTCCAATAATAAAAAGATATTACTATAATGATTAGCTATTCATCATTTCAATACTTTAAAGGTTAAGGTAGAAGACCCCCCCCCCCCCCATCTCCCCTCACCTTTATTTTCCATTTTCCTACATGTATATAACAGGTAGCCACATGTTGTGAACAATAATCTTTGAATCCAATGAAATGGGGATTTCTTGTAAGTATTTAAAAAAAAAATATTTGAAAAGGCAAACAAGAATTCTTAAATGAAGCAAGCGACAGCCTAGTTAGTTACTTGAAAGAAAGAAAAGCAATGCTACATTTAAGGATTCTCATCCCAATGAGAATCTATCATCAAGGCATAAAGTGCTAGCAGAAACTGTAGCACTATAAAACTAGCAGCTACATTCAAGACCATTATCAGAAAAATAGGAATAGTAGGTTACCAAATATAGAGAGATTTAGACAAGCGAAATCCATAACGTGCTATCAATGCGGTAAGACAGGCCATGTCAAAGCTGAATGTTGGAAGTTGAAGAATGAAAAATATAGATCTCAAAGTAGTTAAATTAACAAGTGTAATTGCCATAATTACAGATTCTCTTCACCTCCTAGTCCGAGAAAGTACTACAACAGTGACAAAAATAGGTAATTTCGAGATAAAAGATATAACCAATCAGACAGGCATCATAATAACAATGATAGTCAGCAGATTAAGGATCAAGAAACCGAAAGGAAACAAATAGTAGCCGCTGCCAGAGAGGCCACTGGAGGCAGATTTATTTTCCAGCACTGCTGAATGGACAAGAAACATTGTGTTCAATGGATACAGGCTGAACAGCGATTATTGTTGATAAAAAGTGGGTAAAGGAAACTTATACCGGGGAAACGCAAGAAGTTAGATTGGCAAACCAGATGCCCATTCAATGTACCAAAGCAAGTGTAGAAATTGACTGTCCATGTGTGACATGTGTGACAGGCACCTTCTTAGGAGTGGTGATAGAAACACCATCTGTCTATTGATCATAGGCAACACCCCGGGCATCACGAATTACTCACAGAACATTGAAGGAATGGGCGTCAGAAAAAGGACACATTAATGAATACTATTGTAGAAAAAGAAAACTCTGAACCTCTACAGTCAGTAGTGCAATTCCAGATCACAGCGCCTTAGACGGTAAGACTTCAAGGAGAGGATGTAATGGCACAAAAGCTGGAAGATAGCAGTTAACAACAGAAAGGGAAGTATATATATATATATATATATATATATATATATATATATATATATATATATATATATATATATATATTGATGCTATTATTTATTCAAACTTTGTTTAAGGAGTGTGGCTCCACTTTGCTTTAAGTCCTGAATGTTACTTATTATTGTATTAGGGACTATTTTCTTGTGCGTAGTATTGGTTTTTATGTTCGTGAATGTGGTGTGTGGAAAGGGAGGGACATTCTGCTGGAATGTAGAGGCCTGTGTGTTGAAAAGTTTCTGTGTCACATTTATGTGGTGTATGGTAACGTAGGATTATTTTTATAGTGTTTTATTATGTTTTCCTTTTAATAGTTTGGTTATTTTGTATACAAAGTGACTACGTACTAGATCTATTTAGTCACTTCGACTTTGAGAAGTCTCAATGTTTGTTGTATCCAGACCACGTGGTAGTATGATGGCCTGGGTTTAGTCATGAATTATTGTAGATTTTACTTTCATTTATAAGAGCCTCTTGTTTAGGCTGACAATTGTGTCAACTTAGTGCCTTGTGTATAACTTTTTTTACATTTTGAATTGATTTGTCTATTTTTCTTCTTTCTAGGACGGTGGTCCGAAATTGTGTGTTTTGTTTCGTTGAGTTCTGTTTCTGTTTTGTATGTATTGAGTGTTTTGTTTTGTCTAGATCTAGATTCTAGTTTTTTTATGTAAGTTTTGGTTCCATATTTTTGTTAAATAAATTTTATTATATTGTTAAAGTTTTTGTTTTATTTTAGTAGTTTTTTATTTAGACCAAGGATAAGATTTAACCACCGTGGGTTTCACCACGGTTGCACTGACCCGGACAGTTAGATAGATTTTAGGTATCCCCCCCACCCCCCCTAGCAGGGCTTACATATAAAGATATAATGATGGAAAAAATTGAACCCTCCCCCTTCCCCCATGAGACGATCCTAGCTACGCCACTGTATATTGCCCATAATAATATTTTGTGAGTAGTTTGTTTCATAACGCAACAATAGATGAAGTTACATCATAAGAATAATATTCAGCTCTTTAAAGAAACCTTCAACAGAGTGAGGTTTTAAATTCCTGGAAACTTTTACAATTTACTCGAACTAATCTAACGTCATAGGCAAATTCATTCCGCAAATTTGTGTTGACCTCCAAGAACACACTTAATTGACAACTATTTTTCAATGATCACATCTCAATAAAATTTACTTATTTTAAAATTAATTAAAGATAATAATTATCATAGTAATTGCCAATTTGTTGTAAAATATTCGACTGCTGCTGTTTTTGTTACTGCAATAGGTGAACACAAATGTAATTTAAACAATGAGTTCATATTATAGCTCGCTAACAAGTGGAAATAATGGGCAAATTTATGTAGGCCTATATCTTAATTATGAAACTGAAGTAATATTTCTCACTTTCAGTTACTCTGGAAGATCTTCTAACGCAAGCAATCCTGACACTTGCTTATTTTGACTAAAAGGCTCAAACATTACGACTTAAACGCTTACATTCTATACCTGGAAGCTTAAGAGTTGGACTAGGGGCCAAATCTTCTTCATCTTCGTTCTTAAATTTAGTTTTGGAAGTGATGCCTTCCAGTACAATTAAGTACAGAGTTTCTTCCAAGCATCTCCTAGAACGGGGGGAGGGGGAAGTCTGGAAGAAACACTTATTAAGTTTACGTGTCAACTGGTTTTGCGCCAAAAGGAAGCAGTTGTTTGATTTTGGATTTGTCTCTCCTAGAAAGTGGCTGTCCCCAGATAACTAGCCTCATCTACCAGAGGATTCGAACTCGAGACTTTTCGGTTTAGCAACCATGAGCTTTACCGACTCGACCACGCCGTAATGGCTAATAATCTTATCTTAAATATTATTGACTTACGGAATGTAGCTAAGAGAGACAAGCCAGGGCCATTGCCCAAATGTGTTGGGCTGTCCCTCGATAACACGTTTGCTTCTTCCATGGACAGCGGAATATTTTATGCCACACCCAGACGAGTCTGAAAGTCAGATTTTTTAAAACTATTTAAACACTTTGTTACATTTATCTAAGCAATACCAATTATGATTTCGAACTTACTTTTATCAAAAGTTAAAGTGCACTTTAAGGCCTGACAAATTTATGGCAGATAATGATTGGTACTTTTGTTATCTGATGTTTTTCCTTTCCTTTATTCAAGGCTAATATCCACCAGAACTGCACTATGTGCTATTAATTCTAACGCTAAAGACTTTATAATAGAGTCCAAAATAAGGATCCAAACGGAAATCTGTCAAAATCTCTTTTTCTGGATTTTGTGTTTTAACTACCATCTTTGATTGATTGAAAATTAATATTAACTATCTCCCACATTTTTACAACTTTACCACTTTTCAAAAATCAGCTAAATTTCATATAATTATTTTGTATTTTCATTTAATTTTCCCTAAAATATTTTTTAAATAACACATGCTCTAATTTATTTTTCATGTCATAGAGATATCCCTGGGCTCTTGCTTAGTTATATTTTATTACTGAAATAAATCAACTGCGGTCCGTATTTAATCAGGTAAATGTGTACAATTTTTTATGGGGGAGGGGGGGGGGGGAGGAGGAGGCTCCGGTAAAAAAAAATTGTTTTAATACTCGTTAGAAAACAGTTTTTTCTTTACAGCTTTATTAAGATACATCCGCATATGCATTTTCACTAAAAAAAATTCCTGGAAAAATCTTGGTAACTATGACAACGGCGGCCATCTTGAGAAATTCATAATACATTATTTTGAAGGTATGCACTTAAATTTTTTAGCTGAGTGCCCCAAAATATGGAACACAATTATGAATTCATTATTTATTGGGCTTAAAATATAATATTTTATGGATGGTGGAAATCCTACGAGGGGGTAATTTTTGAAGATGGCTGCCGTTGACATAGTTACCAAGATTTTTTCTCGATTTTTTTAGTGGAAATGCATATGTGGATGTATCTTAATAAAGCTGTAAAGAAATAACTGTTTTCTAACGAGTATTTAAAAGCTTTTTTTTTTTACCGTAGCCTTCCCCGTTTCTAAATGAATTTTTAATAAAATTTCCATGCTACAAATTGTTTTAGGGCAAATTCTTAACCATCAACATTTACAAAACATTTTAGATGTAAAAAAAAATATTAAGCATTTCAAGAATAATATATTACTAGAAAAACACCCTGTGACTTACTGCATCTATTCGTATAGATTTTTCCGATGGTTTCATTGTTTGAGGACATCACGTACAGACATTTGACCCTAATTGGGTAACCGAATTCAAGTATCTGCCATTTCGATTTCTGGTTATCCGACGTGATATTCGACTGTTTAAAAACAGTTGAATGGATGGTTGTTAGCAAAATATTAATATCTTTATTCCTTATTATTTTGTTAGAGTTAAGGCTGAAATTTAGGAAATAAATCTTGATATTACTCGTAATTGAGTATTTTGAGCATGGCTTTTTAAAATATATCGGCATTATCCGTTTACAATTTTTATGAATTGCCAATTTTACAATTGCTAATTAAGTTTTTTATTTTGTTCTGGTGACCGTTTTTATAGTTTAAAGTAAGCAACAAGTGCAGATAATGCTTATCTGATTACTTGGCAGGAGGAGCCAGTGAAAATTAACAAGGTCCATGTGATGACGCAAGATTACGTCAGACATGTTTAGCAGATATAGGTTAGCAGAAACAGACTATAGGCCTAGTTGGTTGGTTAGAGAGGCCAATGGGCACACAGGACCGACCGGTCACGTGGGACGGTCAGCTGACCACTGAGGCGTGGGTCAGAAGAGAGATAGGCCAGCAGTTGATAGGTAGCTAGCGAGGGGTACAGAAGGTGTTAGGTTGTAGAATGTAGAGAACAGTTAGTGTTAGGATTGGTCATGGGAGTGCGTAGTAGTAGGTAGCATGTGGTATGAACAGTCAGTAGTAGAAGTAAATAGTACAGTGTAGATCAGCTAGGTAGAAACTTGAACATATATATCATTTTAATAAAGAACAATTATAGTTGAACTTGAACTGTGTGTTATTGGATTCATTCGTTACCGCCATCTAAAAATCCCCACCCTCACAATTGGTGGAGCGCGGGTCGAGTACAGGAAAGACTGGGTATATCGGGTTACTCATGACGGAGTACATCTGGTGTACAGCTTTCTTCAACTCAACACAACAGCGGGTTTCTTCAACCGGAACGAGTGGATTACCAATACAAGGGAACAGTCACCATGTTCAAAAAGATAAGTACCTTCCATCATTTTTTTTTAAACGTTTGGGTTTATACCCGTGCTGGATAGCTTGTACCAGCGGTTTTTCTGCCTTACACATTCTTATGTTACGCCCTGTTGCCTTAGTTTTGTTTACTTTCCTCAACACACACACATACACAACCATGGAGGCAGAGTTTCAATGCTATAAACGGGGCATACCATTAGACAAGAAAGAAGAAGAATTTGGAACATCTTTAGAGAGTAGGTTAGAAAACAAGATAGTCAAGATAGTAAGAAATGTCAAGAACAAAAGCAGAGTTAGCGATAGAATTAGTGAAACTGGAAGTACAGCACATAGATAACACGCAACTGCCCTAGAACATCAACCCCATGATCAAAAATGTGACCCGGACCACCCCCATAAATGATTTTGAACAACGGACATAATAGTGAAGTCAAGTCGAGTTTTGTGTTGATCTAAAATCTAAGTAGTCGAGAAAATCGGCGTGAAGTCGATATAGTTGAAGTCGAAGTCAGTGTAGTTAAACTGAAGTCAATTGTGTTATTGAAGTCAGTGAAGTATAAGTCAGGACTGAAGTCAAAGAAGTTATTTGAAGTCAGTCAAGTCAGTCAATAAGTTGTTGAAGTCGTATTTGAGGTCATAGTGACGTAGTTGAAGTCATGTTGCAGTCAAAGAAAAGTCTTTGAAGTTATATTAAAGTCGTTGAGGTCATAGTGATAAAGTGAAATCGTCGAAGTTATAGTGAAGTCTTTGAAGTCATATTGAAGTCGTTGAAGTCAAAGTGAAGTCTTTGAAGTCATATTGAAGTTGTTGAAGTCAAAGTGAAGTATTTGAAGTCATATTGAAGTCGTTGAAGTCAAGGAAAAGTCTTTGAAGTCAAAGTGAAGACGTTTAAGTCGTCGAAGTTTAAGTCGGTCATTGAAGTCTTTTAAGTTGAATTGAAGTGAAGTCGTCGAGGTCAAGTTAGTCTTCAAAGTGAAGTTAGTCGTCAAGTTGAAGTAATTGAAGTCGTCAAAGTGGAATCAGTCGTTAAATTGAAGTCAGTCACGTTACTGAAGTCAAAGTGAAATAAGTGAAATTACTGAAGTCAGTTAAAGTGAAATAAGTCAGGTTACTGAAGTCATAAGTGAAGTCAGTCATTAAGTCAAGCCAGCCAGTTTTTGTCAGAAGTCAGATAGTGAGAGCTGCTCCACTATATGATTACGTGTTCAAATGTTATTTGAAACGGCACGATTATTTATATACACTTACATGTCTATTCTTTTTTGTGAAGCTATTTCTAAGCTCTAGTAGTGTTTACGTCTATTGGGTTTATTAGGCTTTACAGATTGTTGTTAGATTAGAGTGTACTGATTTTTTATTTGGTTAATTTTGTAATGTTATATTTGTATGCTGTATGTACCGCCAGACAAATGTTCAGCACGTTTAAATTCGGGATTGAGGTTTTTTTTTAATGGAAGGTACCTCTGTCTGGATACTTGTCTGCGCGGGCACTAAGATGGTCACGTAAAGCCATTGCTTATAGCCTCGAAATACCATTTTCAGACACACTACGCTTATTCAGAATGAGACGGGATGAGGAACACACTTCAAAAGTGCCGCCACTGGAAGCCCTGATTACGTTGAATTACCTGGACAGCGAACAGCCCTGCCGAACAGAGAATTGCCCTGGTCAAGACAACGGACGCATCGCCACCGCTTCGCCCCGCACTGGGGTTGAATAACAGACCGCCAGCTACGTACACCTACGTCGGCACATACAAAGGGTAGACGACCCATCGGCCAAGTTCCCAGCGTCGGAACGTTACGTCATTGTTCGCCACCGCATCAGACAGCTCCAGTTCATCGTATAACCACTCTACGTGGACATCTCAACCAGCGTTGAGTTTGTTGCGTCATCACATTGACCAACAAAAGTTACGCCTACACCCGCCTCACGGGAATTTACATCAAAACTCGCCACAAACCATCCACCACAGAGGAACGCCAGCAATTACATAACACTTAAACATACACTTACACTGCTCGCAGAGCCCGTTCAACCAGTTACACATTCTACTAAGATTAGCTCAAGGCCAGTACACGACAACCTAGCCAGAACTGAGTTTCACATGATTGGATTCACACATACCATAACATAGACATACATTATCAAGCAGAGACACCACAGACGTCTAGATACTTACACAAGAACTAGAACAATGACATTTTTTTTCAGGAACACAGACACAAGATTTTATGTTTTTGTAAAACAGTGCTGTCCCATTTTGTATTTGATTTATATGATTGATGTTAGGGATAGAATAGAGTAGTAAGATAGATAGTTGTTGATGTATTAGATTAGTAGTAGACGCTGAAAAATATAATTTGTCAGCTACAGAAAGGGAGGGAGATATGTGATGACGCAAGATTACGTCAGACATGTTTAGCAGATATAGGTTAGCAGAAACAGACTATAGGCCTAGTTGGTTGGTTAGAGAGGCCAATGGGCACACAGGACCGACCGGTCACGTGGGACGGTCAGCTGACCACTGAGGCGTGGGTCAGAAGAGAGATAGGCCAGCAGTTGATAGGTAGCTAGCGAGGGGTACAGAAGGTGTTAGGTTGTAGAATGTAGAGAACAGTTAGTGTTAGGATTGGTCATGGGAGTGCGTAGTAGTAGGTAGCATGTGGTATGAACAGTCAGTAGTAGAAGTAAATAGTACAGTGTAGATCAGCTAGGTAGAAACTTGAACATATATATCATTTTAATAAAGAACAATTATAGTTGAACTTGAACTGTGTGTTATTGGATTCATTCGTTACCGTTTCTTAAAAATCCCCACCCTCACAGTCCATTTATATTTTTTAAAGGAAATGAGTTGAAAGTATTTTTAGTAGGTTTTTGGCTGATGACCTATTTTGTGAGTGAATAAACTTCCAATACTTCATAGTAAGGTTTTTTGGCTGATGACCTATTTAGTGAGTGAGTAAACTTCCAATACTTCATAGTAAGGTTTTTTTTGGCTGATGACCTATTTTGTGAGTGAAAAAACTTCCAATACTTCCAAAACTTCCAATACTTCATAGTAAGGTTTTGTCTGATGACCTATTTTGACAGAATAGACTAATACCTTTAGTGGACTTATGGCTTATGAACTTAAGTTTTTATAAGATTTTATTTAGTTAACTGTGACAGTTTGCTTGTTTATGGGTTGTGGGTTTCGGAAAATCTTGTAACTTACTTTTAACCCATTTCTAATTCATTGATTTCATTCAAACTTTTAGGATACATTCATCTTGGAAGAACATGCTAGAGTATCTATTTTTGAAACTTGTTAGCAATTTTAAGTTATGTTACGTCCGGGTTTAGTTCAACTCAGAAAACGATTCGTGACAATCTTCAGTACTTTTATTTGGTCTCAACTCTCCACATTACCCAGTAGCCCTCGCCCCAACCGCTACAAATTAGCCACCTTACAACCATTCACTCCAAATTTTATACAGCATTCGACCTTGGGTTAACTATACTGTAGGGTAAACTCAACTCACACACGCACTCTCCCCTAGTTTTAGATTAATCTAGCCAGAGTTTCTTTCAGGCATCTCTTCGGGGGGGGGGGCTTATCCCCCTCTGAAGAAAGTCTACCGCCCCCCCCCCCCCCGAACGAGATGGAATTTATATAGTAGACTTATACTTTTACTAGTGTCCACCCCCGTCCACCCCCCAGAAAATTTTGACCATCTCCCCCCCCCCCCCCCGAAAATACTAAGTGCCCCCCCCCCCCCCCAGAGAAAAAAGTCTGGAAGAAACTCTGATTCTAGCATATTTCTATCTAACCTACTGACCCGTAATAAATAAAATACTAAATTCAATAGTAATACACAGAGTTTCTTCCAGGCATTTCTTCGAGGGTGAGGGTGGCTCTTTAAGTGCCCCCCCCCCTCCCCGGAGAAAAAAGTCGGGAAGAAACACTGGTAATACAGAAGATAACAATACTTAATACTATCTATCGCTCTAACCGGCGACATGAAGTGCGTGTCACTGCTGAGTGATTTCTTGCTCGACGTTCGAAGGTGGACTAAGAAGGATAATTGTCTTTCAGAAATAGCATTCTACTATTCGTGTCTCAAAGCACATATTTTTGTAGTCGCTAAAATGGTGTTAACTTAATTTAAAAGAATTACAAACGAGTGAAAAATATAAAATCCTTTTAATAATAAACGTTTAATGCACTGGAAAGTAGAAAATTAAACGTTTTTCTATTCAGTAAAAGCTCTGGTCGGTAAAATATGTAAGAGATTATCTCAGGAGCGACCGCATTTTTTAAATAAAGAAAATGAAGGTTGTTTTATTTTCCTATTTTCAGTGCATTTAAAACTTATTATTGAAAATGTTTTTAAATTCGTTTTATTGTATTAAAAGACTGAAAATATCATATCTTTCAACAGGCGTATGGCTTTGGGCTCACGTTTTATTTAAGGAATAGTCTGGTAATACGTTTTAAAAGGCTTATGGTTGAGACCTAACCATTGTATGGCTGAACACTTACCGATTTCGCATGATGAAACGAATAACCAGTTATGGCCGACGAGTTGCAGTCCAGGTTGTAATTTAGTTGTACGTAACTTCTTAAGACAGATGTGTTAGACAGCAGTTGTACCGCTACCCACGCCAAAGTAATTTCCTGATCGAACATCAGTTTCTTTGAATGAGCTTGCAGATGTATATTCGCTGGTGGTCGCGCTGGATTCTGGCAAGTTTCCTCCTTTACAACACCTGTACCAGTAAACACAGTATCAAGCATCAGATGTGAAATTGGGCCAGCGTTTAACAACGGTAAAGTTTACGATTGATAAACCAAAAAATCTTGATTTCGAACCCTTGGGAGGATGGCGCTCAATTGCAAAACACCTATCCAGTGTTTCCTCCAGATTTTTTTCTCCGGGGGACGGGGACGGAGGGGCACGGACACTGTTAAAAGTAAATATTTTCTATATAAATTCCATTTCGTTCGTGGGGGGGGGGGGGGGGGGGGGGAGACTGGAGATGTCTGGAAGAAACTCTGAGCCTATCTAGGAGAGAAAACTTCCAAATCTAATCATTGCTGTCTTGCAGTTTGTTCCTAGATGGACCAAGGCAATGGAAGCAAATCCAGAAAGGAAAGAAAGCTAAAAATCGGCCTATATGTTGCATAGCAAGTTGACGAGTAATACTTAATTGTTTTGAAGGCAATCCATTCCAACATTACATTTAAGAACAAAGAAAATAAACAAAGAGTGATCTCCCCTAAACGTTCTCGAATATTCTTATATAAAACAACAGGGGATGGGAACTCGGGATATAGTTATGATTTTTAATCCATTTTAAATACTTAAACTTTTTAAAATAGAATAGAATCTCATAGAAAAAACATTTGCGCACCAAGCGAACGCCAAATAAAGATGTTCATAATAGTGCGCTATATTATTAGCACTTTATTTTGAAAGAAAAGAAAATAAAGGGATAGAAACTCACGACAGCCTATAAGATCAAGTCTCAAAGCTGCTCTACTCCCTGTGTAATTGGTAGGGACAATCTTTAGACATTTGACATACTCCACCTTCTTCAATGGAACAGTTATTGGTATATCCATCATCAAGTATTGTATACTGTAGTTCTGTGGAATATTTCTTACAGATGTTGTTCCCTGATTACATCTGGACACCACAACAATACTATTAGGACATACATGATATGATTTTACCATTAGCATAGCCACAATTTATGTGTAGGAGTAACTAGAATCGGATTACAATTTTTACAAAAAGTTAAACAATTTTTCATATTCTTTTTTATAAAGATACGTATCGTTGAATGGAAACAAAAAAGAACTACATGGAAATCAAAGTACTTCAAATGTTTTAATTCATCGCTGATACCCCCTTCCATCTACACACACACACATAAAAATAACCTGCAGCAATTTTATTTAATACGCCACGGCTTTCAATACAACGTAGTCAACAGTAGGCCTATTATAAATTCTTTTAGACGCACACTTAAGCCAGCCCCCCCCCCCCCCCCCCACGGATTTGGCAATATTATGTATTGATTATACTCTTGCAATAGACACTGCATCATAGTGGACAGCATAAGGTAAATAATCCATGTGTAATAGGTCTTTATTAGTCCAATCGCTCCCTTGATCAGAAAAACTAGTTTTTTCAACATGTTTTATTCTGCAGTGTCCGACAAGTTTTCCGACTTAAGATTTTATAGGGATAATTTGCAAGGTTTACACATATACATATATAATATATAACGTGCAGTTTGGTATAAAAAAAGTGTTCAGAGTTTCTTCCAGGCATCTCTTCGGGGGGCGGAAGTAGTATATTAGGTCACATTTGGTTATCATTTTTGGCGGAGGAGTCATGGTGGAAGGGACAATGACATATAGTAAAATACTCGGGAGGAGCAGGCGCGGGATGTACAATGACATATAGCAAAATACTCCCAGCCTGGCGCATCGCAGGGGGAGGTGGTGGTGGTGAAGGGACAACGACATATAGTAAAATACTACGCCAACTGGTGTTGGCGGAGGAGCCGTAGGTACAATGAGATATAGTAAAATACTCCCAGCCTGGCGCAGAGGCTGGGTGAGGAGCGAAGAGTGGATGTACAATGACATATAGTAAAATACTCCCCCACCCTAGGGTGGCGGAGGAGCGGAGGGTGGGTCACCTTTTGGTGACCTTGTGACGTAATCATTGACCTTGTGACGTAATCATTGACCTAGTTACGTAATTTTAATGCGTTTTTAATTAGTTTGAATATATTTTTTAATTAATTTTTATAATTAGTTTGAATTTAATTACTTTGTTTATATTGTGTAATTTTTTTATTAACGAGTTACGTAATTTGATTATTTGTTTACTTTTTAATTATTTTTATTGAGTAGTTACGTCATTGGATTTAAATTTTTAAAAAAATTTTTAAATTTTTTAAATTTTTAATTTTTTAATTTTATTTTTAAATTTAATTACTTTGTTTATATTGTGTAATTTTTATTGACGAGTTACGTAATTTGATTATTTGTTTACTTTTTGTTTAATTTGTTGGTTTGTTTATTTGCTTGTATGTATTTTTTAAATAAAAGACTAACACTAGCCGTGTACTAGAACAGTCTTTGTATAACATCCATTTAACCAACCGTCCAACAGCTGTTACTTATCGATCCAGGATCCTTTGTTTTTGTCAAACACTGGACAACGGGCGAGTTAATATCGATTCCACCCACGGGCCATCAAATGATGTCCCGCCTAATTAAATTTTGTTACGCATCGTGGATTTTATGTGTTGTTCACCGAAGCGAACACCGTAGGGGTCCGGTGTTTAATCGAAAGAGCTAAGTGGTTAACCGCAAACCCAGCGTTAAGTGTGGGAACACCTGTTACCACTTTAATTGATTTCCCCCTCCCCCCCCGGTTGGGTCCCGTGCTTTTCACTAACAGTTATACGGACAGTATCATAGGTTTTTCATCGAGTAAAGAAATAGTATTGATCGACCCGTGTCTAGTCCATGCATCCATTAACCAACTGTGCAACAGCTGTTGCGCGACCACAGCATAGGATCTGGTAACTAACGCGAAGCCATTAAGGACTTTAGTTGTAACTATTCGCTTATACCGAGGGTCAGCGAAAACAAAATATATTTAAGGGTTGGAATTTTCTTTCAACCACCGTTAAATCAGGTTTTGAGACGAAACGAAGTCTCGGCAGGTTCGTGTTTTTTAATGGGCGACAGGGCGACTTGGTGCGTTGGTACGTAGGTATGCGGGGTAGACATGTTTTTTACAAGTCTGGAAAAGTAATTACGTTTTTTATGACCGTTCCGATTTTCTTTTGATCTGACCACCATTTGACCACACTGAGCCAGATAAATTTAACAAATGTTCAATACATAGTCGCTTATAGTAACATGGGTGAGGGGTGTAAGCAGGCGGGTGACGGTGTGAACAGGTGATTGAAGGGTGAGCACGTAGGTGAAGGGGTGAGCAGGTCGGTGAAGGGGGACAGGAGTAGGAGTAAAGGATATATAGTAAAAGATTCCACCACCTAAGTGAGGTGGCTTTTAATTTTAATTTAAATTTTTTATTTTAAGGTTCTATAACTCTATATATTTAAATACATTTTTTTTATTCAAACGAGTTTACTCCCCCTAACGTAAGCACATGTAAAGAGGGATTTCCTATAGATCTGTAATGAATTAGGCCTTTTTGACTATGACTTGTTACCCAGGTGTTGACATGATACACTTTTTTGAGATACATGTACACACACACACACACACACACATGCGCGCGCGCGCGCGAAATTCATACTAGGTCGGTAAAGGCGGAGAGAACTTATAGGTATACATTATCATGGCGACAACAAAGCGACCCTTATTTTATTTACATGAAAGCGTGTTTTCCAAAAAGTGTCACCATGCCATTGTTATTTTTGCAGCGGGGTTTATTTTAAGTGCATCCCGTGCACGATTGTTTACATTTTAAAAGAAGTGTCGCGTGTCTTCCCCATAGGTCTTCCCTAATAGAGAAACGAGAGGAAAGACAACTGTTCTAAAATTAGAACAGCCTTGTCTACAGACACGAGTATCGTCCCTTGTGAAAAATTCGCGTCAGAATCCTTAACTAAACAGTCAATTTCTTTAACAAGTTAAAAAATAATTTAGGAAGACAAGGGTTAACAACATTAGACGCCACCGTTTTTGTTTCCTGTGACAAGGCTCAATACACTTTTGTATTTTATGCCTCAAGTAGAGGGGTGGGATATTTTTTTCTTTGTAAGCGTGTTGTAAACAATGGGTAGAGGAAGCGATTACTAAGTAAGAGTGGAGAGAACGTGACGTACATCGCGATATTTGAAAACATGGCGATGTTTAACCTCAACCAAAAAAGGCAATGAACCTAGAAGGAAGACGAATATATATCTTAGTCTTGCAGCAGATTACCTTCCCATATTCGCTTTAGTATTACAGTTTTCATCAATCTTCTTTTTGACTTGAACTTCTTTAATTTTTAAGAAAGTTTACTTATACATAATACATTACGTCTAATGACAATTTTTTATTTTTACCACTCAATGTATTTTGTTTTTCTATATCTTACATTGTCATCTTAATTTTTGATCACCTTAGTAAAAATTTGCTTAAGATTATAAACTTCAAGTTTTAAAAAACAACAACGTTATAGTACGTCGTGTCAAATGACACACCGTTTAAAATGTCTACATTTAAAGTTCACCAAAATAATGACGTAAAAACTAAATATGATATGACATTAGCATACATATCATTCAATCTAATCACTCTAAAGTACAAATCAATAATTTTTATTGATTAAAGGGCTGGGTGAGTTATTTTTATCACTATTCACCCTTCCCCTTCCCTTTGTCCGCAACCCCTTTCCCCTTGTCCCATCCCTAACATCAATACCAACCGCTAGATACACAGACCGTAACACTACCCATTCTATTCCATTAAAGAGACAAAGGATGTATGACAATCCTACAGACAAATATTTATTCAACTAATATCACAACTCCTAGACACTACTCCAACAGACTGGGATACGTAACTTGTAGACACCACTCCGTAATGAATACCACATGCGCCCTACCCACATCGACAACTTTGTCCGCCGCCCTCGCCCCATCCCTAAACAACCGATAGATAAACACACCGTACCACTACCCACACTATTCCCTTGGACAGACAAAGGACAAAGTAACAGACAAACATTTATCCCCCTTCGTTTACTGTCATAAGTGAAAACGTTCCCATCCAACTCCAAAACATCCATGGCCCAATTTCGAATCCAGCCTCGTTGAAAACTCCCCTGACCCTAGTTTAACTTTGCCTCACCGACTCCAAAACAGTCCTGTACCAAACATCCATGTACCAATTTTGAAACCTGTCTTGTTGAAAACAAAGACCGTCCCACTCTAGTGTAAACTCTACCCCGACCAACTCCGAAACAGGGATGGTCCCCGTTTGAAACCTGCCTCGGTGAAAACAAAATCCTTCCCACTCTAGTATAGACTCGGCCCCTAACACTTCCAAAACATCCCTGTACCAACTTTGAAACACGCCTCGGTGAAACCCAAACTCCCCCGACGCTAGTTTAAACTCTTCCCTCATCATTTCAAAAACATCCCTGTACCAACTTTGAAACACGCCTCGGTGAAACCCAAACTCCCCCGACACTAGTTTAAACTCTAACCCATCAATTCCAAAACATGTCTGTAACAACTTTGAAACCTGCCTCGGTGAAAACAAAAACCATACCACAGTAGTATAGACTCGGCCCCTAACACTTCCAAAACATACATGTACTAACTTTGCAACCACCCTCGGTGAAAATTTCACCGACCCTATTATAGAGGCGGCCTCTATCAATCCCAAAACATGCATGTACCATCTTCGAAACATACCTCGGTGAAAATTTCACCGATCGTCGTATGAACACAGCCCCTGTCCATTCTTAAACATGCATGTACCAACTCTGAAACCTACATCGGTGAAAACTTCACCGAGCCTAGTATAAACTCTACACCTACCGATTCCAAAACATGCATGTTCCAAGTTCAAAACCAACCTCGGTGAAAACTTCACCGACCTTAGTTTAACTCTCCCTAACAATTCCAATGATGCATGTACGAACTTTGTAACCTGCCTCGGTGAAAACACCCCCGTCCCTAGTATGAACTCGGTTACCAACAATTCCAAAACATGCATGTTCCGAGTTCAAAACCAACCTTCACCGACACTAGTATGAACTCGGCTACCAACAATTCCTAAACATGCATGTACCAACTTTGCAACCTGCCTCGGTGTTAACAAAAACTCCCCTGACCCTAGTATGGACTCTACACCTACCGATTCCAAAACATGCATGTTCCGAGTTCAAAACCAACCTTCACCGACACTAGTATGAAATCGGCTAACAACAATTCCTAAACATGCATGTACCAACTTTGAAACCTGCCTCGCTGAAAACTTCACCGACCCTAGTATGGACTCTACACCTACCGATTCCAAAACATGCATGTTCCGAGTTCAAAACCAACCTTCACCGACACTAGTATGAACTCGGCTAACAACAATTCCTAAACATGCATGTACCAACTTTGAAACCTGCCTCGGTGAAAACTTCACCGACCCTAGTATGGACTCTACACCTACCGATTCCAAAACATGCATGTTCCGAGTTCAAAACCAACCTTCACCGACACTAGTATGAACTCTACACCTATCGATTCCAAAACATACATGTTCCGAGTTCAAAACCAACCTTCACCGACCCTAGTATGAACACGGCCCCTAACAATTCCAAGGATGCATGTACGAACTTTGAAACCACCCTCGGTGTAACCCAAACATCTCCGTCCCTAGTGTAAACTCTACCGCATCCATCTCCTAAACATGCATGTCCCAACTTCGAAACCAACCTCGGTGAAAACTTCACCGACTCTAGTATGAACGGTGCCCCTAGCCAACTCCAAACCTTCCCTGGGCACCCGAATAAAAATAACTCACCCAGCCCCTTAATCAATAAAAATTATTGATTTGTACTTTAGAGTGATTAGATTGAATGATATGTATGCTAATGTCATATCATAATAATATTTAGTTTTTACGTCATTATTTTGGTGAACTTTAAATGTAGATATTTTAAACGGTGTGTCATTTGACACGACGTACTATAACGTTGTTGTTTTTTAAAACTTGAAGTTTATAATCTTAAGCAAATTTTTACTAAGGTGATCAAAAATTAAGATGACAATGTAAGATATAGAAAAACAAAATACATCGAGTGGTAAAAAATAAAAAATTGTCATTAGACGTAATGTATTATGTATAAGTAAACTTTCTTAAAAATTAAAGAAGTTCAAGTCAAAAAGAAGATTGATGAAAACTGTAATACTAAAGCGAACATGGGAAGGTAATCTGCTGCAAGACTAAGATATATATTCGTCTTCCTTCTAGGTTCATTGCCTTTTTTGGTTGAGGTTAAACATCGCCATGTTTTCAAATATCGCGATGTACGTCACGTTCTCTCCACTCTTACTTAGTAATCGCTTCCTCTACCCATTGTTTACAACACGCTTACAAAGAAAAAAATATCCCACCCCTCTACTTGAGGCATAAAATACAAAAGTGTATTGAGCCTTGTCACAGGAAACAAAAACGGTGGCGTCTAATGTTGTTAACCCTTGTCTTCCTAAATTATTTTTTAACTTGTTAAAGAAATTGACTGTTTAGTTAAGGATTCTGACGCGAATTTTTCACAAGGGACGATACTCGTGTCTGTAGACAAGGCTGTTCTAATTTTAGAACAGTTGTCTTTCCTCTCGTTTCTCTATTAGGGAAGACCTATGGGGAAGACACGCGACACTTCTTTTAAAATGTAAACAATCGTGCACAGGGTGCACTTAAAATAAACCCCGCTGCAAAAAAAACAATGGCATGGTGGCACTTTTTGGAAAACACGCTTTCATGTAAATAAAATAAGGGTCGCTTTTGTTGTCGCCATGATAATGTATACCTATAAGTTCTCTCCGCCTTTACCGACCTAGTATGAATTTCGCGCGCGCGCGCGCATGTGTGTGTGTGTGTGTGTGTACATGTATCTCAAAAAAGTGTATCATGTCAACACCTGGGTAACAAGTCATAGTCAAAAAGGCCTAATTCATTACAGATCTATAGGAAATCCCTCTTTACATGTGCTTACGTTAGGGGGAGTAAACTCGTTTGAATAAAAAAAATGTATTTAAATATATAGAGTTATAGAACCTTAAAGTTAACAGATGATGAAAAAAATAAAATAAAAAATTAAAATTAAAATTAAAAGCCACCTCACTTAGGTGGTGGAATCTTTTACTATATATCCTTTACTCCTACTCCTGTCCCCCTTCACCGACCTGCTCACCCCTTCACCTACGTGCTCACCCTTCAATCACCTGTTCACACCGTCACCCGCCTGCTTACACCCCTCACCCATGTTACTATAAGCGACTATGTATTGAACATTTGTTACATTTATCTGGCTCAGTGTGGTCAAATGGTGGTCAGATCAAAAGAAAATCGGAACGGTCATAAGAAACGTAATTACTTTTCCAGACTTGTAAAAAACATGTCTACCCCGCATACCTACGTACCAACGCACCAAGTCGCCCTGTCGCCCATTAAAAAACACGAACCTGCCGAGACTTCGTTTCGTCTCAAAACCTGATTTAACGGTGGTTGAAAGAAAATTCCAACCCTTAAATATATTTTGTATTCGCTGACCCTCGGTATAAGCGAATAGTTACAACCAAAGTCCTTAATGGCTTCGCGTTAATTACCAGATCCTATGCTGTGGTCGCGCAACAGCTGTTGCACAGTTTGTTAATAGGTACATGGACTAGACACGGGTCGATCAATACTATTTCTTTACTCGATGAAAAACCTATGATACTGTCCGTATAACTGTTAGTGAAAAGCACGGGACCCAACCGGGGGGGGGGGGAATCAATTAAAGTGGTAACAGGTGTTCCCACACTTAACGCTGGGTTTGCGGTTAACCACTTAGCTCTTTCGATTAAACACCGGACCCCTACGGTGTTCGCTTCGGTGAACAACACATAAAATCCACGATGCGTAACAAAATTTAATTAGGCGGGACATCATTTGATGGCCCGTGGGTGGAATCGATATTAACTCGCCCGTTGTCCAGTGTTTGACAAAAACAAAGGATCCTGGATCGATAAGTAACAGCTGTTGGACGGTTGGTTAAATGGATGTTATACAAAGACTGTTCTAGTACACGGCTAGTGTTAGTCTTTTATTTAAAAAATACATACAAGCAAATAAACAAACCAACAAATTAAACAAAAAGTAAACAAATAATCAAATTACGTAACTCGTCAATAAAAATTACACAATATAAACAAAGTAATTAAATTTAAAAATAAAATTAAAAAATTAAAAATTTAAAAAATTTAAAAAAAATTTAAAAAATTAAAATCCAATTACGTAACTACTCAATAAAAATAATTAAAAAGTAAACAGATAATCCAATTACGTAACTCGTTAATAAAAAAATTACACAATATAAACAAAGTAATTAAATTCAAACTAATTATAAAAATTAATTTAAAAATATATTCAAACTAATTAAAAACGCATTAAAATTACGTAACTAGGTCAATGATTACGTCACAAGGTCAATGATTACGTCATAATGTCACTGATTACGTCACAAGGTCACCAAAAGGTGACCCACCCTCCGCTCCTCCGCCACCCTAGGGTGGGGAGTATTTTACTATATGTCATTGTACATCCACCCTTCGCTCCTCACCCAGCCTCTGCGCCAGGCTGGGAGTATTTTACTATATCTCATTGTACCTACGGCTCCTCCGCCAACACCAGTTGGCGTAGTATTTTACTATATGTCGTTGTCCCTTCACCACCACCACCTCCCCCTGCGATGCGCCAGGCTGGGAGTATTTTGCTATATGTCATTGTACATCCCGCGCCTGCTCCTCCCGAGTATTTTACTATATGTCATTGTCCCTTCCACCATGACTCCTCCGCCAAAAATGATAACCAAAAGTGACCTAATATACTACTGGCGGAGACCCCCCCCCCCCAAAGAAAATCTACCGCCCCCCCCCCGATCGAAATGAAATTTATATAGAAAATATATACTTTTAACAGTGTCCGCCCCCCCCCCCCCGAAAAAAGTCTACCGCCCCCCACCCCCGAAAATTTCAAGCGCCCCCCCCCCCCCGGAGAAAAAAGTCTGGAAGAAACACTGAATGTGTTTGTGCTAGCTCTAGTTGTAACACAACCAAACCAAGCTGGTTTTAACTTAAAGTTCAAAAGAGTAACGCAATTAGTTGTTTACGAAAAAAAATGGTGTGGGATGATACAAAGTTGACTGAATTAAATCTCATGGAGCTCTCACTTGTGAATCGTATGTAGAGCAGTCGTACGACGTCTGCAGCACAAACCCCGTCACACGACTAGTATTTCTCCGCTCGCCGTCAAGTCGAAGACTAGTCAGTAAAACTGGCTGGGATATGTTGATCTGCAACGTAACAATCAGAGAGAATCACGTTTCACAAATGATGGTCTTGCATTGTTTTACTTTATAATTTAGATCCTATAACAGACTCCTAACATAGCAACGTTTTATTATCTATTATACTACTAAAAGTCAAGTTTGTTTACATGTTTGAATATTTATTTGTTTTTTTGTTTGTCCGATCGAAAATTGTGATATGTTCGACTCTATCTGGAGAGCTGTAAAATAGTATGTAGGTAGAGAATAATTTTTTAATGCAGACAGACTGTTAATCACAAATTTATTTAAAGACGTTAATTAATTTATTGATTTATTCATACGTAGAGTAACCCATTTTTTAAAAAAATATTAAAACATTGACTAAACTTTGTGGGAATAGTGACGTCACAGGTTTTTGTTTACTCTTTAGTACAATAAAATGGCGGCGTCTATCGAAGAAAATTGTGTTCCCATTCAAAAGTTTAACGCGTTCTAAATCTAATTTTCTGTCGGTCATAACTTTAACAATACGTCCGTTTGCTGTATTTATTACGTTCCAACACTTATATCAATTTTAAACTGTCTTTTTTCATTTAGTTTTACAATAAATTTCTCTAGATCTAAAGATCAGCTGTCGAAGGAAAGTTATGAATCTAGCCTAGATCTAGATCTAGCCTAGATCTAGGTCACTAGACTCAATGTAAATTCTAGATCTAGACTTAATGTAAATTCTACATCTAGAATCTATTTCAGGCCTTAATACATCTAGAATCTATTTCAGGCCTTAATTATTTTATATAAATCTTTGTTTGGCTAATTTAAGATAAAATTTAATTTGAAAGTTACTAGATTCTACTACTAGACTTAGATCTATATCTATGCGCGGAGACTCAAAAGTATAGTATAAAAATTCATTTGTGACGTCACGAGTAAATAGCTAAGTTGGTAGCGTAGTCCGCTCTCATGCAGGTGGCACAGGTTCTAGACCAATATGTCAATGATATTTTTTTTCAATTTTTTTTTTTTTTTAGATGTGAATGATAAAGTTGCCTATCTGAACTTGGCAGGATACAGGGCAGGTGAAGTAGAGTTCATCTGTTTCTTTGTCCTAAGCATATGAAAGGATAGTGTGGTCAGAGACATGCTCGGCTGGAATCGTTTTTTAAACGATAAAAACATGTTGTCTGAGACTTGGCGGGACACTGGGCAGGTGAAGTAGAGTTGAGTAGGTCGCATGTGACGTCGGTATATGAAGGGATAGTCCGAAATCGGTGTTTTCGGTGTTTTTAAAAGATAAGAAACATATTTTTGAAATCGTTTTTTAAACGATAAAAACATGTTGTCTGAGACTTGGCGGGACACTGGGCAGGTGAAGTAGAGTTGAGTAGGTCACATGTGACGTCAGTATATGAAGGGATAGTCCGAAATCGGTGTTTTCGGTGTTTTTAAAAGATAAGAAACATATTTTTGAATGTGGGGTCTGTATTTTGTGACGATAAGTGACACTGCAGTAGCGTAGCGAGGAGGGGGGGGGCGGGAGGGGAGGGGAGGCGGGGGGGGGGGGGAAGGGGAGGCGGGGGGAGGTGGAGTGGGGAAGGGGGGGCGGGGGACATATGTTGGGGCGCCAAAATGGTTTGGAAAAATAAATTGAAAGGTTGAGGGGGGTTCAAATCGAAAGTTTGAGTGGGGGGGGGGGGGGTGCACATCAAAAGTTTGAGGGGGGGGGTGAAAATCGAAATCTTGGGGGGGGGGTTAAAATCGAAAAGTTTGTCCCCGGGCGCCGGGAAGGGTCGCTATGCCTCTGAGTGACAGACGTGATGTTTTTTTATGGATGATCCCCGAAACCCACAGTTATCCAACGGATGACGGGTATTCTAGTTTTTTTTTTATTGTTGACTGGTTGTATTGTGCCATGTTAAAATTAAACGTCATTTTAAAAAAACTAATTATAAGCTTGCCTTGTGTTTCTAAGATCGTTGTTTTGGTAAAGGTGTTACTGATTTTTTATGCTATCAATTAGTACGTAAAAGCTCAGCATCAAATGTATTGCTTAGTTTGTTTTGTGTTAACTTAGTCACCAATATAATGTTTTTTCGCCATGCAAGATCTATTATTGTAGTGAGACCAACAATTACCAGAAGTATTTGGTGGCATACGTTAACTAGACTACACCTGGGACACAAAAGGGAAGACCAAGCCACAGTTCATAAGACAGAGATAGATGTTTAAGAAAAGAAACGTCACACTCCCATTTTCTTTAAAGTCATTAGTTACCTCAATAGTGTTTTGGTGGTAGGAGTGGGACGGAAAATGGAGGGACATTTTGACGCTATATTTGAGAAATAAAACTACGCACCCTGTGTTTAATTACGTGTAAAGATAATGTAAAAATGCTTTTTTGTGATTAAAAATACGACGCCTTTGTATTTTGAATGTAACGAATACTAATTTGCAATGTAAAAAAGGGTTTTTAAACTCACTTTTTTATAACTTGAATAGCTTATATAAATAACTTTTACCTAGCCGACAACCTATGGCGTCGCTACAATAATACACACACGTGACTACACATCAAACACCGCTACACGGATGACTACACACACAATGACACACAATGAACAACAGTAAACGCACACAATCTCCTTTGCTGACCTGAATAAAATTTTGACCATTCACAACTGGTTTCCAGGCGTTGGTGCCGTTAATTCTAATGTGGCTAGCATTGCCACTGGTTGCTCTCAATTTAAACGTGAGGTTCCCAGCGCCTGTATTTTGTCCTAACCCCAGATGGTCTTCACACGGCAGCTGGATGTAGTAGACATTTCAATATTGTAATCTTTATATTTATATTTATAATTATATATTTATGTTTGTTTATGTTTATGTTTATGTTTATGTTTATGTTTATGTTTATGTTTATGTTTATGTTTATGTTTATGTTTATGTTTATGTTTATGTTTATGTTTATGTTTATGTTTATGTTTATGTTTATGTTTATGTTTATGTTTATGTTTATGTTTATGTTTATGTTTATGTTTATGTTTATGTTTATGTTTATGTTTATGTTTATGTTTATGTTTATGTTTATGTTTATGTTTATGTTTATGTTTATGTTTATGTTTATGTTTATGTTTATGTTTATGTTTATGTTTATGTTTATGTTTATGTTTATGTTTATGTTTATGTTTATGTTTATGTTTATGTTTATGTTTATGTTTATGTTTATGTTTATGTTTATGTTTATGTTTATGTTTATGTTTATGTTTATGTTTATGTTTATGTTTATGTTTATGTTTATGTTTATGTTTATGTTTATGTTTATGTTTATGTTTATGTTTATGTTTATGTTTATGTTTATGTTTATGTTTATGTTTATGTTTATGTTTATGTTTATGTTTATGTTTATGTTTATGTTTATGTTTATGTTTATGTTTATGTTTATGTTTATGTTTATGTTTATGTTTATGTTTATGTTTATGTTTATGTTTATGTTTATGTTTATGTTTATGTTTATGTTTATGTTTATGTTTATGTTTATGTTTATGTTTATGTTTATGTTTATGTTTATGTTTATGTTTATGTTTATGTTTATGTTTATGTTTATGTTTATGTTTATGTTTATGTTTATGTTTATGTTTATGTTTATGTTTATGTTTATGTTTATGTTTATGTTTATGTTTATGTTTATGTTTATGTTTATGTTTATGTTTATGTTTATGTTTATGTTTATGTTTATGTTTATGTTTATGTTTATGTTTATGTTTATGTTTATGTTTATGTTTATGTTTATGTTTATGTTTATGTTTATGTTTATGTTTATGTTTATGTTTATGTTTATGTTTATGTTTATGTTTATGTTTATGTTTATGTTTATGTTTATGTTTATGTTTATGTTTATGTTTATGTTTATGTTTATGTTTATGTTTATGTTTATGTTTATGTTTATGTTTATGTTTATGTTTATGTTTATGTTTATGTTTATGTTTATGTTTATGTTTATGTTTATGTTTATGTTTATGTTTATGTTTATGTTTATGTTTATGTTTATGTTTATGTTTATGTTTATGTTTATGTTTATGTTTATGTTTATGTTTATGTTTATGTTTATGTTTATGTTTATGTTTATGTTTATGTTTATGTTTATGTTTATGTTTATGTTTATGTTTATGTTTATGTTTATGTTTATGTTTATGTTTATGTTTATGTTTATGTTTATGTTTATGTTTATGTTTATGTTTATGTTTATGTTTGTGTTTGTGTTTGTGTTTGTGTTCGTGTTCGTGTTTGTGTTCGTGTTCGTGTTTGTGTTCGTGTTTAAGTTTATGTTTATGTTTATTTTTATTTTTATATTTATGTTTATATGGGGACGGTTATTTGCTAAGCCACCCCTTTACTTATCATTTGGATCCGCCTATGTATGTTAAGCTTAACATTAAAAAGATACCAATGGTAGTACGACACGTATCATATATCGACCTTTGTAATACTTGCTCATTTCGAAGTTTTCTCGCTATGGAATTTTAATTAATTACTCAGTAGTTTAATTAAATGTGTGGATTAATTGTAAAATGTTCTACCCAATGTTAAATCCTATATTACTTGTTACACAGAAGATTTATTAACTATAATTTACAAATAACTAAGTGGTCGGCCATTTTAGGTAGGTTATATGTGACGTAGTGGATGGCCATTATATATAGCCAGGTTCACTGGTTACGTAATAGACGTTTGTTGCTGCTAGTTTTAACAGTGACGTAGCTTCTAGTTTAAAAAGTGCCATAATGGACGGTCATTACAACTAGGTTCACTGTAGGATTATTGGAAGGCTGTTATAGCTACTCTACCAAGTACCGTAATATACGACTGCTATAAGGCTGGTAAGTAGGTCACATAGCTGTTCTACGGCTCAATAAAACCTACATGAGCCATATAACTGTTTATTGACCTACTTACCAGCCCTATACCTGTAGGTTATCAAGTAAATAAAGACCAAACAATCCAAGAATTCAGTGAAGTATTAAACACGTGGTTTATGAGTTTTGTAATAATTAGTGTTGCTTTGAAAATAATATTTGTTCTGTCAGATCCGCAATAACAGTAAAACCAGGGGCGTAGCGAGGTGGGGGGGGGGCGGGGCGTGACACCATTTAGGGGGGTGACACCAAGGTAAAAATTAGCAAAATATATAGAGAAAAACTTGAGGGGGGTGCTAATCGAAAACTTGTAAGTTTGTCCCCGGGAAGGGTCGCTACGCCTCTGGGGGGGTGACACCATTAAGTGCCTCACCGGGTGACACCCGACCTCGCTACGCCACTGAGTAAAACGTCCATTTGTTGTAATAAACCATTATTTAATAAATCCCAGTGCAGAGTTATTCTAACATTTCAATATCTTTCATAACTTGACTCTGGTTAGCTTTTAGCTAAATTGCTAATGAGCAAGTGAGCATTAAATATATAAACCAGTGGCGTCGCTAGGTCGCGTGTCACATGGTGCGATACTTCGTGGTGTCAACCCCCCCCCCCCCAAGAAACAAAGTTTATATAACTCTCTCTCTCTCTCTATGTATATATATATATATATATATATATATATATATATATATATATATATATATATATATATATATATATATATATATATATATATATATATGTATATATATATATATATATATATATATATATATATATATATATATATATATATATATATATATATATATGTGTGTGTGTGTGTGTGTGTGTCGGCCTACATAGACATATAATATAAATATATGTATGTGTGTAATCTTTAATCACTGCAGACTTAGTATTAAGGATGTTTATCTATAGTCTTTTAATAATACAGCCTTTATAGTCAGCACGTTTACGTCATGGTGACCCCCCTCAACCCCACCCTCTTGTAATAATTGTGATTTGTACTTAAAAGACTATTTCATTTAAATTAATCACTAATGGATCTGGCAAAAAAAAATTCTTCTGTGAATTTTGCAATTTTTTGGCTTTGTGTCACCCCCCCCCCCCCCCACCTAAATGGTGTCACCCCGGTGCGATCCGCACCCCCCGCCCCGCCCTCGCTACGCCTCTGATATAAACGTTATGTTAAGGTGTTCCCTTTGAATCTAGTTTGTGATATAAATGAAAAAACCTGCATCCATGTGTAATTAAAGCAATAGGATTTATAGTCTTATAGAGATTGAGCATTACTTAAACAAAATGAGTTTCCTGTCTAATCCCTGTTTGATTAAATACAGACGCAAATATTTTTCTGGCGAACAAAATATTCATACCTTATTCAACTTATTCACGAGCAAAAACAAACACACACACACACGTACCGCAATCTTGCACATACGCACTCAGACACACTTGCAATGAAACTAAAATAAATATGAACACACATACCGCAATCTTGCACATACGCATTCTGACACACTTGCAATCAAACACAAATACAAACGAAAACACATCCCCAGCCAGTGAGGGATTAAAGGGGGGGGGGGCTAATAAAGCAGCAGCCTGGAGACCACGATTATTTTTGGCCCTCACAAATTTTGTATACATTTTTATAATGTTTTCTGATTATACTAGTTAAATGTAAGTTCACCCCGGGCGCCGGGACGGGTCGCTACGCCTCTGTACACAAGAGCTAGAAAAAGCTATTAAATCTCATACTAATAGAGAAATTCATCATTACAATACAAAAAATTAAATTATAAAAGAATAAATGTGTCTGCAGGTTGTGGCCTACGAATTTGTACTACCAATCTGAACAGTGCTGCAAACTAACAACCACAACAAGGTGATCCATTGACTCCTTCCAAACTAACTGGCATGTACTGGTCTAACAATATTTCAAATGATACACGACTAGGAGGGATGCAAATCGGAGCTTTTTTCGAAAAAAATAGAAGAAAAGAAGATGGCGCTAGATTGGAGCAAGTTCTAAGAATGAATCCAGATGCTATAGCAGGAATGGCGCTGAAGTGGACTCCACAAGGAAAAATAAAATAGCAAAGCCCAAGGAAGACGTTGAGGCGCACGTCGGGGAAGCAGCAGGCAGAAGCCGGACTGTGCAGGAATAGTGCCGAAACAAAAGTGGAGGGAGCATTTTTTGTGGCGGCCCCATGTGTCTTGATGGATGGAGTGGTCTAGCGGTAGAGAGCTGGACTACTAACCCGTAAGTCTCGAGTTCGAATCCGGGTTCAAATTAGTGGACCGTCCTTGAGTCCACCCAACTCTGATGGTTACCTAACTCAGGTTAGGGAAAGTAAAGGCGGCTGGGCATAGTGCTGACCACACTAACTCTTCATATGTCGAGGTCACAGAAACAAGTGAACTCTACTTCACTTGCCCCATAGACCGTCAGGTTTGAAAGGTAAACTTTACATGTGTCTTCGAAAAAAAGGAAAAAAAAAAATAATGAAAAGGCTGGAGTTGAATTTTAGAAAATTAAAAAAAATATATATATTGTTTTATACATTTTTATATGCTGTTAAAAAAACATTTGTTTTCTACACCCCCTCCCAGTAGCCTCCGTTATAAAAGAATTAAAAATGATTAACCAACACCTATCTACTACGTGATATATAATTAGGACAAGGTAACTAAAATTTAATTTACTACTAAAGTAGCCTACTTTGAAAACTACATGTACATGATACACGCATAAATCATCACAAACACAATCACAGTCTCGTTTTGCACGATCAGACATATAAAACACATGCACACACACACTTGACAAACATTTACACATAGATGAGCAACGACTTACAAATCGTGTATCATAAACACTCTCATACACACGAGGTAGCTTACGCAATCAAAGTCGTTGTTTCAAATTACTTAATTACTTACTTCAGATGCTGGTGTTAAATCTAACATCCATAAACATAGAAGTAAAAAAAATTCCTTCATCCTTCTATTTTGCGGGTTGTTTTTCTAAAAAAAAAATTAAACACAAAGTCGCGTATGTATAAAAATCGTTCTTGATACCAAAGCCCTCCCGCTCTGGTCTAGATGGGAAAGAAATAGGATTAAAATCATAAAGCGATCGAAGAAAATGCAGAAAAATTATGTGTATCTGATGTGATAAAAAATGGTTGTAGAAGAACCAACTGTATTGGCTGTATGCTGAGTTTGATAAACAAACAAAGACGGTACAGATTTATTTGGGCACGAAAATCTCTCTGTGTTTCATATTAGGTGTATGGGCTTTAAGAGTTGCTTTTACAAGCCACAGGGACGGCGATGCCCCTTAACGCTTTACCCTGTTTTCAGGTGCCAGTGTTTCTTCCAGACTTTTTTCTGCGGGGGGGGGGGGGGGGGAAGGGGCATTTGAAATTTTCGAGGGGGGGGGGGGCGGACTAAATTTTCAGGAGGGGGGACACTGTTAAAAGTATATATGTTCTATATACATTCCATTTCGTTCGGGGTGGGTGGACTTTCTTCGGGGGGGGGGGGGGGGGGGGACTGCCCCCGCCCCCCCCCCCACCCCCTCCCAGAACAGATGCCTGGAAGAAACTCTGATAGGTGCAACTACCTCGCAGGATATGCCATTACTTGAAAGCTCTGTTTTACTTCCATTCAAGAAGGTTAGATTAGGATGAGATATTACTTGAAAGCTCTGTCTTACTTCCATTCCAACCTCCGTTTCTATATCCTTGTTATCAAAGGCTCCAGTTGTACGTTAGATTACGCCATACATTAAGCTCTCACTGAAACTAAAGTTTGTCTTATAATTTATACTCACGCGTTGTATAAAACTGCAACTCAATGTCGAGTTATCTTCAGTGAGAGTGAAGACAGGGGTTCAAGTTCTGTAATGGCTTTCTGTGTCATCATCAGCTCATTTGGTCCTTGAATATACATGGGATTACAAGGCGCAACCGTCCTATCGTCTTTCGAGATTAGACAGCCAATGAGATGATGACACTTTGTTAGCTACTCTACTAAGGCGTTGGTAGAAATTTTTCATAATGTGGAATGTTCAATATATATATATATATATATATATATATATATATATATATATATATATATATATATATATATATATATATATATATATATATATATATATATATATATATATATATATATATATATATATATATATATATATATATATATATATATATATATATATATATATAAGTTTTAAGGCGTTAAGTTTTAAGGAGCGAAAATCATACACCGAAAATATAAAACTTTTTCCGGACCGTCGAACACAAGCTTACACACACAAACACACACACACACACACACACATATATATATATATATATATATATATATATATATATATATATATATATATATATATATATATATATATATATATATATATATACACACACATACGCGGGGTGAGGGCGCCAAATTGAAAGTTCTAAGGCGTTAAGTTTTAAGGAGCGAAAATCATACACCGTAAATATAAAACTTTTTCCGGACCGTCGAACACAAGCTCACACACACACACACACACACACACACACACACACACACATATATATATATATATATATATATATATATATATATATATATATATATATATATATATATATATATATATATATATATATATATATATATATATATATATATATATATATATATATATATATATATATATATACATACGCGGGGTGAGGGCGCCAAATTGAAAGTTCTCCCCGTGCGACGTTAGGGGTTGCTACGCCTCTGAAATGCTGGCTCATTCAATTGCTTTATTACAAACCAGACCACACAGTGGTATCTGTGGCAAGAAATGATTCGCTACCAGTCACCATCTAAGCTTGTGGTTAGAAACATATTTTTCTAACCATGTATCAAACTGTGACAGCTACTGTGTTAGATATTAATTAGGCATGATCTTAATTAGATTTTTTTTTATTGGTTATGATTATTTGTCACATAGCTCTAAAGTATCGATTTCTGTCACTTGGTCCGGTATAGACACAAATCAGCTAAAAACCTTACTATGAAGTATTAGAAGTTTATTCTCTCACAAAATAGGTCATCAGCCAAAAACCTTACTATGAAGTATTGGAAGTTTATTCACTCACAAAATAGGTCATCATCCTACTAAAAATACTTTCAACTTATTTCCTTTAAAAAATATAAATGGACCTTTTTAATTTTTACTGGCTCCCCCTGCCAAGTAATCAGATAAGCATTATCTGCACTTGTTGCTTACTTCAAACTATAAAAACGGTCACCAAAACAAAATTTAAAAAACTGAATTAGCAATTGTAAAATTGGCAATGCATAAAAATTGTAAACGGATGATGGCGATATATTTTAAAAAGCCATACTCAAAATACTCAATTACGAGTAATATCAAGATTTATTCCCTAAATTTCAGCCTAAACTCTAACAAAATAATAAGGAATAAAGATATTAATATTTTGCTATCAACCATACATTCAACTGTTTTTAAACTGTCTGGTATACAGTCCAATGTCACGGCGATTAACCAGAAATCGGTTAACCAATCAGGCTCAAATGTCTGTACGTGATGTCCTCCTACGGAGAAACCATCGGAAAAGTCTATACGAATAGATGCAGTAAGTCACAGTGTGCTTTTCTAGTTATTCGTGACATGCTTAATGGCTATTACCTCTAAAATGTTTTGTAAATGTCGATGGCTAAGAATTTGCCCTAAAACAAATTGCAGCATGAAAATTTTATTTTAACTATTTCATCACAAAAATATACGAGTTAGTTAAAAGGAAATTTAAAAAATTTCCACTACTACCAAATTTATGTTTCCAGCTTTAATAGGAATAGATTTTTTTTTCATTTAAAATATACGGTCATATTTGAGCTCTATAAAGAAATGGAAAAAAAAAACAAAATTAAAAATTTTATTTAAATTTTTTTGTTAAAAAGAAATCAAGATTTAAAAATTATGAATCTAGGGTACTTCTTTTCTATAAATTAAGCAAAAAAACTCATTGCACCTTTGTTGCGATTTGTTGCTATTAATTTTCTTGAAATCTAGAATTCTAGATTTTTACTATTACTTATTATATCGGAAAAACAAGATGGCTGATGAGAAAATATAGTTAGTTGAGATATTTAAAAGCCCATTGAAGATCAGTACAGAATTTTTACACATATATCTGATTGAATACGGACCGCAGTTGATTTATTTCGGTAATAAAATATAATTAAGAGCACAGGGATATTTCTATGAAAATAAAATTAGAGCGTGTATTGTTTAGAAAACGTTTTAGAGAGAGTTACATGAAAATGAAAAATAATTGCATCAAGATAGTTGAACTTTAGCAGATTTTTAAAAATTTGGTACATTTTTTACTTTCTCGTATCTACGAAGTATAGAGAAAGTATTGTAATCGTGCAAAAAAAAAAACGAGATTTTTACAACTCTCGACGTTTTACATCTCACTGATAATGGAAAAACATAATTTTGCAATCTTGTCCGTATGTCTGTGTGTCTGTCTGTGTGTGTGTGTCTGTCTGTCTGTCTGTGTGTGTGTGTAAACACGATAACTTGAGTACCGGTACAGCTAGGTTGATGAAATTTCATACATAAGTATTTTATCAAAATCGTAGATCCGTGTCACTTATTGAGCGATTTCCGATAACCGGAAGTGGTACTTTTCCTACTTTGAAATTTTCAAAAGCCTATAACTTGAGTACTATTTCAGATAGATAAACGAAATTTTACATGTAAGTAAAAGATCTAATTCTCTACCTTCTGTTAAATTTTGAGTCATTTCCGTTGAACGGAAGTAGTAATTTACGCTACTTTCGATTTCTCAAAAAACTAATGTAAATTTTTAAAGTACTAATAATATTGCGCACTATTATGCACTTTTTTATTTAGCGTTCACTTGGTGTGCAATTAATTTGTCTACGAGATTTTATTCTATTTTTAAAACTTTAAAGTATTTAAAATGGATTAAAAATCATGTCTATAGCCCGAGTTCCCATCCCCTGTTTTTTTATATAAAAATATTCGAGAAAGTTTAGGGGAGATCAGTTGCGGTTTATTTAAATTTGAGAGTTAGTAATATTAATTTTCTGTTAAAAACATGCAAGTAATAAACAAAATAAATGTCACTTGTGAGCCAATAAAGTATAGCTGTCACTTGTGAGTCAGCAAAAATATAGGTGTCATTTTAAGTCAGCAAAAGTACAGCTGTCATTTGTGAGTCAGCAAAGTATAGTTGTCATTTTAAGTCAGCAAAAGTATAGTTGTCATTTGTGAGGCGGCAAAGTATAGTTGTCGTTTGTGAGTCAGCAAAGTATAGTTGTCATTTGTGAGTCAGCAAATTATAGTTGTCGTTTGTGAGACAGCAAATTATAGTTGTCATTTGTGAGTCAGCAAAGTATAGTTGTCAGTTTAAGTCAGCAAAAGTATAGTTGTCGTTTGTGAGTCAGCAAAAGTTTAGTTGTCGTTTTTGAGTCAGCAAAAGTATAGTTGCAACTAAAGCTACAGTCAGTCAGCCACTCATGAAAATAAGTGATTGATGCGTATTTAGATTTGTATTACATGCTTTGTTGACCCTCAGATACTACGACACTTCTGCTATGGAACATTGCCCCCATCCACCTAAGCGAACCAGTCAAATACATCATGTACATCTCTCCAATTTGCATGGATGAGTCGGAACTTTTTTTCAATAAAAGCCGATGCATTGTTTCAGGATGTGAACAACGTGGGACAGGTGGGGGAGTTTTGTATATTACCACCCACAATAAATACGCGACACATAGTTGAAAAATTAACAAACGAATTAAAGTATTGTATTTGTATTTATGCCGCCAGACCCCGGGGTGGGGGCAGGTTGTTTAGGCTGCTCAAAATCTGGAGAAAAAAACAATGAATTTTCTTCATAAATAATGCTTTTTGAGCACCATGATAGTGGTTTTGTAAAACAAAAAAAAACAGGTCTACTATAGCAGTGATTGTTCTACTTTAACTAAACTAAACACACGCTGTTGCGTAGACCAAATATATTTACAAGAGCTGTAGTGTGAAAGATAGGTAAACGTTCACGCTAGAGCTATGGCCTATTGCCTTTCTTTAAATATTATAATAGGGGGGTCCATAAAGCTCCTTTAAACAGATTTGTACTAAGTAAATTAAAACAAACGAGCCGGCCCGCGGCATAACATACGCCGCTATTTAGTTGTTTTATTTTCTACTTTTCAGTAATTCATAGCTTGTGAATTCGACAGTACCAATGCTGCCACTGAAAATATTTCTTTAAAACACTATAAGTAGCTCGTTAAGGACCATAACCCCCCCTCCCCTTCCTTCCCCCCTCTCCCCCCCCCCCCCTTACGTTTAAAATCGTTGGCTCTGCTTGTAAACATTTAGAGTGAACACAGCTCACTAAGACCATGTAGGGGTGGGGAGATAGGGAGCTCGTTTACAGCTTGTTTTCTAGTGGCTCCCAGAAGAGAATTATATATATAGATTACTTTTTTTAAATTTATTATTCAAATAAGAAATACTAAACAATGGCATAGCTATGCATAGGAATAAATTCAAAATTAATAAGATAAAAAATTTTAAAAATTGTAAAAATAAACAGAACGCAAGAAACCATTACGTAAGTTACGTACCGCTTTATTATACATTATATATATGTGAGCGGGTGAATGGATTATTTATTTTGTATTATTTTATTAGGTGCGAATCTGTGAGTGAATGGTCCACTGGACAGCGGCTACGGGGATTCCCCTTCCGCCCGAAGCGGTCAGAATAAAAACTGACAGCTCGGATAATTTCTTTTTGACCCGAGGCGAAATGTAGATCCGTTCGGTTTCTGTGTGGGCGCGTGGCGCACCTCATACTTGAAGGTATTTGTTTTTATTTTACTTTTATATGTTTGGTTTGTATGAATGCGACTGTCGATGTTTCTCGTTTTCTTTCATTTTCGTCTAAAACGAGATAGTGAGCATCGGCATGTCTGGTATACACGTGGTGTGTTCTTTTTGAAAGATTTGAAATGTAATATGGTATTTTCTAAACCCTTGGCGTGTGTTTTAGACCATGTTGTTTAGGTCAGCGTGTTTAGGAGTGTTTCCTAAACTGGTGCGAAAGCGTATGTGCATTTACTAGATTGTTTTACTTTATTATGATGTGTTGTTATTGCGGGTTCCCCACGATTACTAGGATTGGCTTAATCAATCGTCGGTTGTTTTAGAAAGTGTTGAGTATATTTTAGTTGCCTCGAGTTTTAGGTTGTTTAAAATTAATGTGTGTGCTGTTTCGTGCAATGTCATGTTGAGTCACTTGCATGGTGTCTGCCTATATTGGGGCCCTAGCGGAGTGTGTTAACTTCAATGTTATCAATATGGATGTTGTATAGGTAGACCAATGGCTTCTGGCTGCTCCTTGTTTAGGAAAGATTGGTTCTATAATGATTTTGTTTTACACGTTATTTTTAAGTTGCTAGTTCTTGGTTAGACAGTGGTTGGTTGTGCTTTTGACAATTGCTTTTAGAATTGTAATAGTAGGGATTAGTTTTACTCGAGGCTTTAGATATCTTTAGTAGAAGTTAGTAGTATTTAAACGTGTATATATATATATATTGGTGTATATATTTTTCTATGCATTTTTCTTATGTTGTCCTTTTCTTTTACTTCCCCCCCCCCCCCCATTCCAGTGAGGTTGCTTGTGCAACTTGGCTGGGTGTTTTGTTTAGTCGTGTTTTGTAAGTCGTGTTTTGTTTTGTCCTGTTGAGTTTTGTTTAGTCGTGTTTTGTGTATTCTGTAGTTTTTCATCTTTCTTATTTTGATTGGTTCCATGTAATAAATTTAATTAATTGTTAAAGATTTTTTGTTTTTATTTAGACTAAGGTTAAGGTTATTAACCAGTCTGGGTTTAGCCAGACTTGCACTGACCAGACAGTAGTTAGTTAAGCCTAGAATGGTAGATTTTAGTTATCCCCCCCCCCTTAGCAGGGCTTACATATATATTTACATATAGGCCTATATGTATACATTATATATATATATATATGTATATATGTATATATATATATATATATATATATATATATATATATATATATATATATATATATATATATATATGTGTGTGTGTGTGTGTGTACGAGCCAAAAAATCATTTTTGTGGGGGAGACTTTTTTTCTTATTCTCCCAATGATATGATAAATAAACGTTTGTTTAAGTTTTGAATCTAATACTACAGGGGATACCTCTCTTGGCAGCCGTTTTCCATATTCTGAGACAATGACGGTCATGACCCAAGGGAACTGCAACTGTACCTTTGCCCTGTTACCAAACGACATCTCTCTCTCTCTCTCTCTCTCTGTCCGTCCTTGGACAGATCAGCCAAACAGGTAGAAACAAATACACAGTTTTCATCACTCTATTTCTACCCACCCACGTCTCTGTCTTCACACCCACATCTATTTCTTCACACCCACGAAATAATAGCAACGTACATTACAATGACTACAAATCACCCAGCCACAAATATCGTGTACTGTTAGTGCTGGTGAAGTAACATAGTAATAAATGTGGCATAGGGGGGTGGGGGTGACTTACAACAGTTATTTCGGAAACAATGTAATTAACGTAAGAGAGAAGTCAAAACTTAATTTTAAAATAAGCAAGTTTATAATATCCGACAGACTAGCCATGTGTCTCTTCTAAGGCCATGGTATCTTTAATCCAAGATTTGAAGGAGGTCACTCGTGTGTGAAAACTTGGAAGTGCTGGCATCGCACAGCCGAAGCCCCATGCCACTATCCCAATTTGGTACCAGCGTCCACTCACCTCACACATCAGTGGCCCACCTGAGTCACCCTAGGGAAAAAATAATTACAATTTGTTTTAACAAAACTCAGCGGGAAATGATAGTGTCGCCGTTGACATTTGATGAAGAAAAACAAAATTGACATTATTCAATGAGGAGCGATTTTATTTAATTAAGCTTAATTAAATTGACAAGATAAAATAGGTTTAATTCAAACTATCTAGTTCCACGTGATTTATTTAAACTTAAACAAAGTGTAAGAAAGTTTCTTTGTGCTGATAGAAAACCATGAAACATTCCTTGTTTATTTTATTAATATTTTAATTTATATTTTAATTATCTATGCTAACCATAAAGTCTCGAGTTCGAATCCCTTGATATGCACTGGTCAGGAAACATTTGAACTCAACTTCATCTGCACAATGGATTGCAACGTCTAAAGTGGGATTTTTACTTTTATCATGTTAGATACAGTCAGAAAATGATGTAAATTGTACCAGACTTGACTAATGTGTACCTATTAACTTCCTGCTGTTTTTATAATGGAAATGATTGTACCTCACATGCATCCTGAATATGAGGAGTATCTCTATCGGGTTCTATTGTGCACGCCATAGTATGTAGATTGGAGATGTTTCCTATCATCACTTCAAAGAACAGGCTGCATTCCTCTGGGGACATTACCCTCAGGGTCACCGAATGTGGGTAGCGACTACCTGGAGCTCCATACTCTGCCGTTTAAAATTTAGATGAAAAACGTAAAGAAATGTCTTCAAAACTATTTAACTACTAGCCATGGGTGCACATTTCTCGAGAATTATAGGCTTATATGTTTTTACTGTTATACTTATTTGGAAAAACAAATGTATAAAATAGTTATTAGTCAAAACGCTGTGTGTTTTACTATACGTTGAACGATATTAGTGACAAAACAAAGAAATAACTAAATAGCTAAAAATCCGACACATTTAAAATAATATAGGCTACCAATACCTATAAGAAATAAACCGGGAGTGATCTCCCCTAAACTTTCTCGAATATTCTTATATAAAATAACAGGGGATGGGAACTCGGGCTTTAGACATGATTTTTAATCCATTTTAAATACTTAAAATTTTAAAAATAGAATAAAATCTCTTAGACAAATTAATTGCACACCAAGTGAACGCCAAATAAAAAAGCGCATAATAGTGCGCAATATTATTAGTACTTTTAAAATTTACATTAGTTTTTTGAGAAATCGGAAGTAGCGTAAATTACTACTTCCGGTCAACGGAAATTACTCAAAATTTAACAGAAGGTAGAGAATTAGATCTTTTACTTACATGTGAAATTTCATTTATCTATCTGAAATAGTACTCAAGTTATAGGCTTTTGAAAAATTCAAAGTAGGAAAAGTACCACTTCCGGTTATCGGAAATCGCTCAAAAGTTGATACGGATCTACGATTTTGATAAAATACTTATATATGAAAAAAATTCATCAACCTAGCTGTAACGGTACTCAAGTTATCGTGTTTACACACGGACAGACAGACAGACACACAGACAAACATACGGACAAGATTGCAAAATTATGTTTTTCCGTATCAGTGAGGTGTAAAACGTCGAGATTTGTAAAAAATCTCGATTTTTTTTTTTGCACGATTACAAGACTTTCTCTATACTTCGTATATACGAGAAAGTAAAAAATTAAACCTAACTATATACATTATTAGTCTATACAATACCTTATTAAAAGCAAACACTGATTAGGAGACTTGAATGATTCATTTAGAAACCCGGCTGTTAAATGGTCATTATGTTGGGTTTTTTTTAAAGTAATTTTTATTAGTTTGACTGAGAAAATTGTATACGTACTTCTTGATAAGTATACTTATAGAATCTAGATCTAAATCAAATTAGAGTGAAATAGTTCATTTCTTTATTTTCTAAAATTGGAAGATGAGGCTTTAGTGTTGTGTTCTTTCCGTAGTTTAAACATGTGGCATGTGACGCCATTGATTATTGCGTTCTTGTCACAACTATAAATAAAATTTCCGGTTGCATTACTAGAAATGTGTTTCTACATTCGAATATTGCTTTATTTTTACTTTCTCGTATATACGAAGTATAGAGAAAGTATTATAATCGTGCAAAAAAAATAAATCGAGATTTTTACAGATCTCGACGTTTTACACCTCACTGATACGGAAAAACATAATTTTGCAATCTTGTCCGTATGTCTGTGTGTGTGTGTGTCTGTGTGTCTGTGTGTCTGTGTGTGTGTCCGTGTGTAAACACGATAACTTGAGTACCGTTACAGCTAGGTTGATGAAATTTCATATATAAGTATTATATCAAAATCGTAGATCCGTATCAACTTTTGAGCGATTTCCGACAACCGGAAGTGGTACTTTTTCTACTTTGAATTTTTCAAAAGCCTATAACTTGAGTACTATTTCAGATAGATAAATGAAATTTCACATGTAAGTAAAACATCTAATTCTCTACCTTCTGTTAAATTTTGAGTAATTTCCGTTGACCGGAAGTAGTAATTTACGCTACTTCCGATTTCTCAAAAAACTAATGTAAATTTTAAAAGTACTAATAATATTGCGCACTATTATGCGCTTTTTTATTTGGCGTTCACTTGGTGTGCAATTAATTTGTCTAAGAGATTTTATTCTATTTTTAAAACTTTAAGTATTTAAAATGGATTAAAAATCATGTCTATAGCCCGAGTTCCCATCCCCTGTTATTTTATATAAAAATATTCGAGAAAGTTTAGGGGAGATCACTCCCGGTTTATTTATTTTATTTTTAAATAAGATTTAGTTTACACAATTAGGGGTCGTCCATAGATGACGTCACACTCGTAGAAGGGAAGGGGGTCCGTAATTTTGTGACGGTGTGTGATGACGGGGAGGGGGGGGGGGGGTGGTTCAGATATTGCGACGTCACACTTTTGCATTGTAAAAAAAAGCAATGTTAGAAAACGAATTTTAGACGTTATTTCGCGTTTTAGAAAACTGTTTTACTAATTTGCAATAGGAATTGATTAAAATACTCTATTTTGACAGAGTTCAGACACGATTTTGGAATAATATCGATGTTTTAAGAAAAATTCAACTGCAATTTTGAGGGGTTGTAGGCTATGGCGTGACGTCATTTTAGGAGGGGGGTCTGGCTTTTTGTGACGATGTGTGATGGAGGGGTGTGAGAGGTAAAAATCGTCTGAAGAGCGTGATGTCGTTTATAGATGACCCCTTAATCCATTAAACATTATTATTTTAAACAAAAGTCCGTATCTTTTAGTTCATAATTTATCGTTGAAGATACTGATCTCTTAGGTTCGCAACATGCGGACAGAGAGAGAGAGTGAGAGAAAGAGAGAGAGAGAGAGAGAGGTGCACACATATTTTAGGATATACTTGAATTAGTTAGTCATAATTTAACATGTGGGTTGTGGTGGAAGGTAACCATAAAATTGCCACCTCTCTCAAGTTGTCCCCATCCTGTAACAGTGCATCGTCTTTCATTGTAAAACAGCTGCGACTCATCTAAACAAATTGGAGAGGTGTACATGGTGTAACGGACTGGTTCATTGAGGTGGACGAGGGCAATGTCCATTAGGTTTTGACTCAGATTATCTGAGGATTAGCAAGTCATGTTAATGGGTAACAATTAAATATGACAGTTTTTTTATAATTAACCTACTATAGAATGAATGACAAGCACTACGTTTCCGACCTATAAATGGTAGCTGCACTGCTCATTTAAAAATAATAACTCATAAATAACAGCTTAACTTTTCTCACTTCGAAAAGGCAGTAATAATTTGGTGATACACAAAAGACAGCTGTAATTTGCAGAATTAGAAATGACAGCTGTACTTTGCTGACACACAAATGACAGCTGTACTTTGCTGACTTACAGTTGAACTCCGGGTGGATGTACACTTTTTCAATTAACCTCATCTGGACTCTTTCGTTCTGGTCATCAGCGAGGTCATGTAGGCCGAAGTAAACTTTCCAGTTGCTGACATTGGAGAGGCCATTGATATTATCGTCCCTGTAATAGGAAGGCAACATGTTATCATTTGCACAGTTCTGGTTACCAGTCCGAGTAATGTAAGTAGTTTTCTCCCTCAAGAACGATGGTAAATTTTTAGCCGTGTGATTGCGTGTTTTAGTAACAGATAATTATGTTATTCTGATAAACAGCGTATTATATTAGAGAATGCGACAAATGCCCGAATGGACACTTGCCCGAATGCGAAAAATGCCCGAATGGACACATGCCCGAATTCGACAAACGCCCGAATGGACACTTGCCCGAATGCTGCAAATGTCCGAAAGCCACTTGCCCAAAGGCCGTTTTCCCGAAAAATGTTAAAATTATATATTATCATTTTTCGGGCAAGTGTCCATTCGGGAAATCGGCCTTCGGGCAAACGTCTTTCGGAAATTTGTCGTATACCCGACAAAAACTAATGCGGAGGAGGGGTGTTGCTGCAGCCTTTTGCTTTAGAGAATGCAAAGTAATAATGCAATGATGCAATGAATAGCTTAGTTCTAGATCTTACTCACGAGAAGCAGTGGGCAGCAGTCAAAACCCAGCTGGGTGAGATTACAGATCCTCCGCAGACATGCTTGTAGCCCGAAATTCTAGTAAAATTAACTACCCTGTTTGTGAAATTAATTATTTTGCAGTTTAATTTACATAAAACAACACAGAACTATCCTAAAATATAAAAGCCTATGTGCGCTCTTCTCTCTCTCTCTGTCCGCAATATTTTTTAGGCAAGTTGATTTGTAGAAACACGCTTTTTACTTCACTATGATTATTTTCTTTTAATGTACAACAATGAACAGCTTTTTAAATGAGTAAATTTAGATACTTTTCCGAATGGTTAAAGTATTTAAAGTATTTATTTTCAATTTCAATTTCAAATTTGTTTTTAGTCATGTAGGGGTGAGTGGGTGACGGTGGACGTTCTCTTTTTAAAAAATATAAGGAATACTGATGTCCTATCATAGTTCTCATCCTTTTTACTTTCTCGTATAAACGAAGTATAGAGAAAGTCTTGTAATCGTGCAAAAAAAAAAAAAAACAACAACGACATTTTAATAAATCTCGACGTTTTACACCTCACTGATACGGAAAAACATAATTTTGAAATCTTGTCCGTATGTCTGTGTGTCTGTCTGTGTGTGTGTGTGTGTGTGTGTGTGTCTGTGTGTGTGTGTGTGTGTAAACACGATAACTTGAGTAGGCCTACCGTTACAGCTAGGTTGATGAAATTTCATATATAAGTATTTTATCAAAATCGTAGATCACTATAAACTTTTGAGCGATTTGCGATAACCGGAAGTGGTACTTTTTCTACTTTGAATTTTTCAAAAGCCTATAACTTGAGTATTATTTCAGATAAATAAATGAAATTTCACATGTAAGTAAAAGATCTAATTCTCAACCTTGTGTCAAATTTTGAGTAATTTCCGTTGACCTGAAGTACTAAATTACGCTATTTCCGATTTCTCAAAAAACGCATGTAAATTTATAAAGTGCTAATAGTATTGTGCACTTTTATGAACATCTTTATTTGGCGTTCGCTTGGTGCGCAATTCTTTTTTCTATGAGATTCTATTCTATTTTAAAAAGTTTAAGTATTTAAAATGGATTAACAAATCATAACTATATTCCGAGTTCCCATCCCCAGTTGTTTTATATAAGAATATTCGAGAACGTTTCGGGGAGATCACTCGCGGTTTATTTACTTCGTTCATAAATGTAATGTTGGAATGGATTGCCTTCAAAACAATTAAGTATTACTCGTCAACTTGCTATGCACCACATAGGCCGTTGATTCCGATTTTAGCCTTCTTTCCTTTCTGGATTTGCTTCCATTGCCTAGGTCCATCTAGGAACAAACTACAAGACAGCAGTGATTAGATTTGGAAGTTTTCTCTCCTAGATAGGCTCAGAGTTTCTTCCAGACATCTCCAGTCTACCGCCCCCACGAACGAAATGGAATTTATATAGAAAATATTTACTTTTAACAGTGTCCGCACCCCCCCCCCCCTCCCCCCGAAACTTTTAGTCCGCCCCCCCCCCCCCCCGGCATCTCCAGTCTACCGCCCCCACGAACGAAAAGGAATTTAGATAGAAAATATTTACTTTTAACAGTGTCCGCCCTCCCCCCCCCCCAACCCCCGACCCATGAGAAAAAAAATCTGGAAGAAACACTGGATTGGTTGCTGTCCCCAGCAATTGAGCGCCATCCTCCCGGGGGTTCGAAATCGAGATTTTTTGGTTTATCAACAGTAAACTTTACCGTTGTTAAACGCTGGTCCTATTTCACATCTGATGCTTGATACTGTCTTTACTGGCACAGGTGTAGTAAAGGAGGAAACTTGCCAGAAAACAGCGCAACCCCCAACGGATATACATCTGCAAGCTCATACAAGGAAACTGATGTTCGATCAGGAAATTACTTTGGCGTGGGTAGCGGTACAACTGCTGTCTAACACATCTGTCTTAAGAAGTTACGTACAACTAAATTACAACCTGGACTGCGACGCGTCGGTCATAACTGGTTATTCGTTTCTTCATGCGAGATCGGTAAGTGTTAGGTCTCAGCCATACAATGGTTTGGTCTCAGCCATACGCCTTTTAAAACGTATTACCAGCCTATTCCTTAAATAAAACGTCAGGCCCAAAGCCATACGCCTACTAAAAGATATTTTAGATAATTTACATTTAATTATCATATTATTTAATTTCAATTAACCAACATACAAAATACTATTTTAAAATTAAAAGGAGATAATGTCATAGCTTATTTATAGACTATTTTACATCAACGTTAGCTACGACTTTTACATATTATTTTAATCTTAACACTTTAAACGTACTGTTATTTTGTTATTTGACCACACAGAAAAATTATAAATAAAAGAGAAAAATTGTTTTGGAAAAATAAATGCCTTTCAAAAACTAGAGACGTCATGTGTAGAATGTCTAAGCATGTTTGATTTTAATTATTAAAAAGGTGAAGTTAAAAATACCCCTTCCATTTCTCCGAGACTAAAATTAAATATTTTTGTTAAAAGTTAATTTTACCACAGAAATAGTTTTTCTTTTTTTTTTATAAAATTGAAAATTAGAAACCATGATAAAAAAAATTAAAACTGTAAGTAAATTAGCCCTCCAATAGGGTAGCAATTGTTACTAATGTAATGGATTTTTATCAATAACTCTTTCTAAAAAATCACTGTATATTTAGACTTTATAATTTCACATGTATATAACAGGTAGCCACATGTTTTGGACAACAATTTTTGAATCCAATGAAATGGGGATTTCGTGTAATATTTTTAAAAAAATGTTTATTTGAAAAGGCAAACAAAAAATTCTCTTTTTTTTTCAGATAAAAACTATCATTTGCACTTAATTAATACGCCAGGAGTCATTATGTCAAATTGTTGTTTTTTTGGATATGCGCCATTCAAGCCAACCAATAACAAACAACAAGGCAGCTGTTGTTTGATTGTGTAGTTTTCTCTTCTAGAAGAGTGGCTGTCCCCAGCTAACGAGCTTCATCTACCCGAGGGTTCGAACTCGAGACTTTTCGTTTTAGCAGCCATGAGCTTTACCGGCTTGACCACTTCAACCCTTAAAGGACTAAAAATCTTGTCTTAAAATAATATTGACTTACGGCAGGTAGTGAAGAGAGACAAGCCAAGGCCATTGCCCAAGTGTGTTAAGCTGCCCATTGATAACACGTTTGCTTCTTCCATGTACAGCGGAATATTTTATGCCACATCCAGACGAGTCTGAAAGCCAGGTTTTTTAAAACTATTAAAATACTTGGTTACATTTATCTTAGTAATACAAATTATGATTTCAAAAGTACTTTAAATATTTACTTTAACCAAAAGTTAAAGTGCCCTCTCCGGTGAGACAAACGTATGGCAGATAATGTTTGGTACTTTTGTTATCTGGTAATTTTTTTTACATTCCTAGATTCAAGACTAATATCCAACAGAACTGCACTGTGTGCTATTGATTCTAGCACTAAAAACTTAATAGCAGAGTTCAAAATTAGGGTTGAAACGGAGATCTGTCAAAATCTCCTTTACTGAGTTTTCGTTTTGACTACCATCTCTGATTAGCTGAAAATTAATATTAATCTCTCCCATTTTTAAAATGTACCACTTTTTAAAAATCTGCTAAAGTTCAGCTATCTTGATGCATTTATTTTTCATTTTCATGTAACTTTCTAACAATACACGCTCTAAATTTATTTTATTTTCATAGAGATATCCCTGGGCTCTTATATATATATTATTACTGAAAAAAATCAACTGCGGTCTGTATTCAATCAGATATATGTGTAAAAATTCTGAACTGATCTTCAATGGGGTTTTAAATATCTCGACTAACTAAATTTTCTCATCAGCCATCTTGTTTTTCCGTTATTAATAAGTTATAGTAAAAATCTAGAATTCTAGATTTCAACAAAAGTAACAGCAACACATCGAAAAAAAGGTGGTGCAATGAGTTTTTTTTTTTTTTTTTTTTTTTTTTTTTTTTTTTTTTTTTTTTTGCTAAATTTATAGAAAAGAACTACCCTAGATTCATAATTTTTAAATTTTGATTTCTTTTTAACAAAAATTTTAGATAACATTTTTAATATTTTTTTTTCATTTTTCATAGAGCTCAAATATGACCGTATATTTTAAATGAAAAATAAATTATAATAGATTGACGATAGAAGCATGTGGTTGTATATAAAACGTTTATTGGGTCTAACTACATGGTGGTACCAGCAAGAGGAAGGAAGTGGCGAGAGACAACTATTTATAAACATGTAAGGGACATCACTCAAGATAACAATATAAATATAATACTAATACAAGAAGAGTGAGTTCCCTTGACTTCACAAGTCTCACAATTATCTCAATCTATTACATAAATCTTCTTCTATTAAAGCTGGAAGCAAAAATTTGGTATTAGTGGAACATTTTCTTTTAACAAACTCGTTTAGTTTTGTGATGAAATAGTCAAAATAAAAATTTCATGCTACAAGTTGGTTTAGGGCAAACTCTTAACCATCGACATTTACAAAACATTTTAGAGGTAATAGCCATTAAGCATGTCAAGAATAACTAGAAAAACACACTGTGACTTACTGCATCTATTCGTATAGATCTTTCCGATGGTTTCTCTGTTTGAGGACATCACGTACAGACATTTGACCCTAATTGGGTAACCGAATTCAAGAATCTGCCATTTCGATTTCTGGTTATCCGACGTGACATTGGACTGTATACCAGACAGTTTAAAAACAGTTGAATGTATGGTTGTTAGCAAAATATTAATATATTTATTCCTTATTATTTTGTTAGAGTTTAGGCTAAAATTTAGGAAATAAATCTTGATATTACTCGTAATTGAGTTTTTTTTTTGGGTACGGCCTTTTTTAATGAATTGCCAAGTTTACAATCGCTAATTAAGTTGTTCATTTAGTTCTGGTGACCGTTTTTATAGTTTAAAGTAAGCAACAAGTGCAGATAATGCTTGTCTGATCAGCTGGCTGATACCTGACAGGGGGAGCCAGTGAAAATTAACAAGATCCATTTATATTTTTAAAAAGTATATAAGTTGAAAGTATTTTAGTAGTTTTTTGGCTGATCGCCTAACTTCCAATGCTTCATAGTAAGGTTATTGTTGATGACCATTTTTACACACTAAGATTTGAAGTAGGCCTATGACCGATCGTTTTTGTATGAGTAGACTAACGCCTTTAATGGACTTATGGCTTATGAACTAACGTTTTTATACGCGTTTATTTAGTTAACTGTGACAGTTTGCTTGTTGGTGGGTTGTGGGTTTTGGAAAATCTTGTAACTTACTTTTAACCCAGTTCTAATCCATTGGTTTCATTCAAACTTGATGAACATGCAAGAGTATCTATTTTTGAAACGTGTTAGCAATTAGGTTATGTTACGTTTGAGTTTAGTTCAACTCAGAAAACGATTCGTGACAATCTTCAGTGCTTGTATTTGGCCTGAACTCTCGACATTACACGGTAGCCCTCACCCTAACCGCTACAAATTAGCCACCTTACAATTATTCACTCCAGCTTTTATTTCTATCTAACCTACAACTGACCCGTTACAGGTTAGTCGTTAAAGGTTTAATTTCTAAATAAAATACTAAATTCAATAGTAATATAGAAGATAACAATATTAAATATTATCTATCGCTCGATAAGCTAACCGGTGAAGTGAACTGCTTATCACTGCTGAGTGATTTCTTGCGAGACATTGGACGGTGGACTAAGAAGAATAATTCTCTTTCAGGATTAGTATTCTACTGATCGTGTCTCAAAGCACATATTTTTGTAGCAGCTAAAATAGTGTTAACTTAATTTAAAAAGAATTACTAACAAGTGAAAAATAGAAAACCCTTTTAATTATAAACGTTCAATGCACTGGAAATTAGTAAAACATCTGGTCGGTAAAATATCTAACAGATTATCTCAGGAGCGACCACATTTTTTAAATAAAGAAAATGAAGGTTGTTTTATTTGCATTTAAAACTTATTGTTGAAAATGTTTTAAATTAGTTTTATTGTATTAAAATAATGATAATATCTTTCAATAGGCGTATGGCTTTGGGCCTGACGTTTTATTTAAGGAATAGGCTGGTAATACGTTTTAAAAGGCGTATGGCTGAGACCAAACCATTGTATGGCTGAGACCTAACACTTACCGATCTCGCATGAAGAAACGAATAACCAGTTATGACCGACGCGTCGCAGTCCAGGTTGTAATTTAGTTGTACGTAACTTCTTAAGACAGATGTGTTAGACAGCAGTTGTACCGCTACCCACGCCAAAGTAATTTCCTGATCGAACATCAGTTTCCTTGTATGAGCATGAAGACGTATATCTGTTGGTGGTCGCGCTTGTTTCTGGCAAGTTTCCTCCTTTACTACACCTGTACCAGTAAACACAGTATCAAACATCAGATGTGAAATTGGGCCAGCGTTTAACAACGGTATAGTTTACGATTGATAAACCAAAAAATCTTGATTTCGAACCCTTGGGAGGATGGCGCTCAATTGCTGAGGACAGCAACCTATCCAGTGTTTCTTCCAGACTTTTTTCTCCTGGGGGGGGGGGGGATGGGCGGACACTGTTAAAAATAAATATTTTCTATATAAATTCTATTTCGTTCGTGGGGGCGGTAGACTGAAGATGTCTGGAAGAAACTCTGAGCCTATCTAGGAGAGAAAACTTCCAAATCTAATCACTGCTGTCTTGTAGTTTGTTCCTAGATGGACCTAGGCAATGGAAGCAAATCCAGAAAGGAAAGAAAGCTAAAATCGGAGTCAACGACCTATATGTTGCATAGCAAGTTGACGAGTAATACTTAATTGTTTTGAAGGCAATCCATTCCAACATTACATTTATGAACGAAGAAAATAAACCGGGAGTGATCTCCCCTAAACGTTCTCGAATATTCTTATATAAAACAACAGGGGATGGGAACTCGGGATATAGTTATGATTTTTAATCCATTTTAAATACTTAAACTTTTTAAAATAGAATAGAATCTCATAGAAAAAACATTTGCGCACCAAGCGAACGCCAAATAAAGATATTCATAATAGTGCGCTATATTATTAGCACTTTATTTTGAAAGAAAAGAAAATAAAAGGATAGAAACTCACGACAGCCTATAAGATCAAGTCTCAAAGCTGCTCTACTCCCTGTGTAATTGGTAGGGACAATCTTTAGACATTTGACATACTCCACCTTCTTCATTGGAATAGTTTTTGGTATATCCATCATCAAGTATTGTACACTGTAGTTCTGTGGAATATTTCTTACAGATGTTGTTCCCTGATTACATCTGGACACCACAACAATACTATTAGGACATACATGATATGATTTTACCATTAGCATACCCACAATTTATGTGTAGGAGTAACTAGAATCGGATTACAATTTTTACAAAAAGTTAAACAAGTTTTCATATTCTTTTTGATAAAGAAACGTATCGCTGAATGGAAACTAAAAAAGAACTACATCGAAATCAAAGTACTTTAAATGTTTTAATTCATTGCTGATACCACCACACCCTTCTACACACACACATAAAAATATCCTGCATCAATTTTATTTAATACGCCACGGCTTTCAATACAACTTAGTCAACAGTAGGCTTATTATAAATTCTTTTAGACGCACACTTAAGCCAACCCCCCCCCCCCCCCACGGATTTGGCAATACTATGTATTGATTATACTCTTGAAATAGACACTGCATCATAGTGGACAGCATAAGGTAAATAATCTATGTGTAATAGGTCTTTATTAGTCCAATCGCTCCCGTGAACAGAAAAACTAGTTTTTTAAACATGTTTTATTCTGCAGTGTCCGACAAGTTTTCCGACTTAAGATTTTATAGGGATAATTTGCATAATATACATATATCATAATATATAACGTGCAGTTTGGTATAAAAGTGTGTTCAGAGTTTCTTCCAGGCATATCTTCGGGGGGGGGGGGGGGCGGAGCCCTCCCAAAAAAAGTCTACCCCCCCCCCCCCCGGAGAAAAAAAGAAACACTGAATGTGTTTGTGCTAGCTCTAGTTGTAACACAACCAAACCATGCTGGTTTTAACTTAAAGTTCAAAAGAGTAACGCAATTAGTTGTTTACGAAAAAAAAATGGTGTTGGATGATACAAAGTTGACTGAATTAAATCTCATGGAGCTCTCACTTGTGAATCGTATGTAGAGCAGTCGTACGACGTCTGCAGCACAAATCCCGTCACACGACTAGTATTTCCCCGCTCGCCGTCAAGTCGAAGACTAGTCAGTAAAACTGGCTGGGATATGTTGATCTGCAACGTAACAATCAGAGAGAATCACGTTTCACAAATGATGGTCTTGCATTGTTTTACTTTATAATTTAGATCCTATAACAGACTCCTAACATAGCAACGTTTTATTATTTTTTTTATTGTTGACTGGTTGTATTGTGCCATGTTAAAATTAAACATCATTTAAAAAAAAACTAATTATAAGCTTGCATTGTGTTTCTAAGATCGTTGTTTTGGTAAAGGTGTTACTGATTTTTTATGCTATCAATTAGTACGTAAATGCTCAGCAGCAAATGTATTGCTTAGTTTGTTTTGTGTTAACTTAGTCACCAATATAATGTTTTTTTCGCCATGCAAGATCTATTATTGTAGTGAGACCAACAATTACCAGAAGTTTTTGGTGGCATACGTTAACTAGACTACACCTGGGACACAAAAGGGAAGACCAAGCACCAATATAATGTTTTTTCGCCATGCAAGATCTATTATTGTAGTGAGACCAACAATTACCAGAAGTTTTTGGTGGCATACGTTAACTAGACTACACCTGGGACACAAAAGGGAAGACCAAGCCACAGTTCATAAGACAGAGATAGATGTTTAAGAAAAGCAACGTCACACTCCCATTTTCTTTAAAGTCATTAGTTACCTCAATAGTCTTCTTCTTCTTCTTCTTCGTTCTTAATTTTTGAATATGGTGGAGGATTCAGACAACAAGTCCAACTTCGTGGACAAACCGGACTGTGGTTTCCAGTTTGTCAGGTGTCCCATATATTTTTTCCCTGAGTGGGGTGGGCTGGGGCCAGTGTCTGCCTCTTGCCTGGCTATACAGAGTACATTCTTGGAGTACGTGCTCTGTGTTTTCCGGGGCCTTGCCACAAGGGCACATTTCGCTACACCCAACCTTCAGTTTTTTGTGCATGTGTTGATTTAGTCTGTTGTGGCCTGTTCTGAGTCGAAAGATTATGTATTGTTGTTTTCGTGTTAAATTGTAATAGCCGTCGTCTTTAATGTAGTGAGGGTGTGTGACAGACCACATTTGCGTTTGTTTGTTTTTAATTATTCTTTTTATTTCTTTTGGGTGTAGCGAAATTTCCGGTTGTGGTTTCTTTCCCCCAATTTTTGCCAGCTGGTCTGCGATCTCGTTACCCTGGATCTGGCAGTGGCCCGGGATCCACTGCAGCACAATTTTGCTGCAGGTATTTTTTAGCCTCTCTAGTGCTGTCATAAGTGTTTGAATATAGGACTCCGGATTTTGTAGGGATTGCAGGACTGATTTGGCATCTGTAAGAAATACAATCTGACTATTCGGTGATTCAGGGTGTTCTGACAGGAGGTTTGCTGCGTGTTCTAAAGCTTCTTTTTCTGCCCTAAAATTGTCGGATAGGCTGCCTGTGGCTATTGCCTTTTCCAGGCTTTCACCGCTTGGCCATTCAATAAGGATGCCAGCCCCGCCGTTTTTTGTGGCATCTTCAGCTGAGCCATCTGTGAAAACTCTAATCCAGGTGTTGCTGGGGTACTGATCCTTAATGTGTTTGTTTGTTATTTTCTTAAGTTCTTCTAGATCATAGTCAGATTTTTTTCCTATGGTGTCTATTGAGTCAATAATGGTTAAGTGACAGTGGGAGATCCAAGGCGGGGAGAGGTTTTGAGTTTTTATTGCTTCAGGAATGATATTTTCGATTTCATATTTCTTTTTCAGATTCTTTGCTTCTTTGATGAAACTTGTTCTTTGTAGTCTGGTTGATGGACTGGGTTTCTGGAGTTTTTGTTTTAGGTTATGGTTTTCCAGTGCCTCTAGCTTTGTGTATTGAGTGAGGATTTTTGATTCTCTTCTTTCATCTATTGAGCTAAGAGCGGCTATTTCCTCCATAGCTTTTATGGGTGTTGTTTTCATGGCTCCTGTCATTATTCTCAAACCAATGTTCTGAACTTTGTCAATTTTGCTAATATTTGTTTTTGCTGCTGAGCCCCAAGCCGAAGCACCATATTCTAACGTAGGTCTCACATAGCTGGTGTAGGTTTTTTTCAGGATGTGGTGATTTGCTCCCCAGTCTGTTCCTGCCAGTTTCCTCATTAGATTAAGTCTTTTGATCCCATTACTTTGTGTGTTTTCTATTTGTTTTCTCCAGGTAAGTCGAGTGTCAAAAGTGACTCCTAGGTATTTGGGGTGGTCATTTTTTTCTAGCTCTTGGTTTTCTAGGGTAAGTTTCATTTTTTGATGTTTAGTTGATAAGGTGAAGATTGAATAAGTTGTTTTCTTGGTATTGATGGATAAGCCCCAGTTTTTGGTCCATTTGCCGAGCTTGTCAAGTGTTTCTTGAAGACGAAATTTTGAGGTACCAATATATTCCTCTGTGCTGATTAGTGAAAGGTCGTCTGCAAACATGCTTCTTTTTACTCTCCTTGGGATGTTTTCATTTAAGTCATTTATATAAATGAGGAAGAGAGTAGGAGACAAGACTCCTCCTTGAGGGACTCCATTTTTTATAGTTACTGTGTGACTTCTTTTTCCTTGCATGGAGACTGATGCTTTTCGGTTGCTTAGGTAACCTTTTATCCAGTTTAGCATGTTATGAGATACTTGATGGTTTATTAGCTTTAGAATTAAGCCTTGCTCCCAAACCTTGTCAAAGGCTTTTTCAAAGTCGACCCACACTATTGAGGTTGGTTTTTTTTCTTGAAAGCCATCTTCTATTTCCTGAGAAATGAAGGTGATTTGGTCTTCAGTAGATCTGCACTTCCTGAAGCCTGCCTGTTCGTCTGCTAGTAGATTGTTCGATTCTAGAAACCAGGTCAGTCTGTTGTTTACTACTCTTTCCATCAGTTTACAAACGCAGCTTGTTAAACTTATTGGGCGATAGCTATCGACTTTGTTCCTGGGTTTTCCTATTTTTAGAACAGGTATCATGATTGCTTTTTTCCAAATATTTGGGATTTTCCCAGATTTCCAGCTTGCATTAAATATTTGGAGCAGTTTTTTCTTAGCATTGGGGCCCAGGTGCATGAGCATATCATTTGAGATTTTGTCAGGGCCTGGAGCTTGCTTAAGTTTGAGGAGCTTCATTGCTTCTCCGAGCTCCTTCTTGCTAATTCGAGCTACCATTCCAGTGGAGGAGGGGGGAGAGACTTTCTGTAGTTTTTCTTTAACTTCAGTTTGATTTTTAACCTCTTCTATTCTTTGGTGGCTGATATTTATTTGTCCCACTTTGCTGAAGTGGGTTATAAATTCTTTTGCTGCATCCTTTTCTGTTTTGATCGTGTTTTCAATGTCGATGACTATGGGAGTAGCTCTGTTTTCTTCTTGGTTTAGCCTTTTTGCAATACTCCATAGTTTATGACCATCTCTATCTACATTGAGGTGTTCTGTTTTTTCTTGCCAGCTTTTCCTCAATGCAGTTAGATACTTTTTTCTAAAAACTGCGTTTGCTGATTTTAATTTTATGTTATTTTCTACTGTGGGATTTTCCTCAACAATATTTCTAGCATCAATTGTCTCGTCGTGGAGTATCTGGAGGTCTGGAGTCCAGTTTGGGATATAATTTTTCCTTGCTCCCCTTGGAATAGATTTTTTGGCTGCTAACAGAACTGCTTTTGAGAAGGCTGTGTATGACTTGTTCACCTGTTTGGTTTTACAGTTGATTGGTCTTGTGTAGGAGTCTGTGAGGGAAGAGAAGAGCTCCCAATTTGCTTTTTTGTAGTTCCATCTAGGGCGGGGGTAGGCTTCAATAGTGTTTTGGTGGTAGAAGTGGGACGGAAAATGGAGGGACATTTTGACGCTATATTTGAGAAATAAAACTACGCACCCTGTGTTTAATTACGTGTAAAGATAATGTAAAAATGCTTTTTTGTTATTAAAAATACGACGCCTTTGTATTTTGAATGTAACGAATACTAATTTGCAATGTAAAAAAGGGTTTTTAAACTTACTTTTTTATAACTTGAATAGCTTAAATAAATAACTTTTACCTAGCCGACAACCAGTGGCGTCGCTACAATAATACACACTCGTGACTACACATCAAACACCGCTACACAGATGACTACACACACAATGAACAACAGTAAACGCACACAATCTCCTTTGCTGACCTGAATAAAATTTTGACCATTCACAACTGGTTTCCAGGCGTTGGTGCCGTTAATTCTAATGTGACTAGCATTGCCACTGGTTGCTCTCAATTTAAACGTGAGGTTCCCAGTGCCTGTATTTTGTCCTAACCCCAGATGGTCTTCACACGGCAGCTGGATATAGTAGACATATCAATATTGTAATCTTTATATTTATATTTATATATTTATGTTTGTTTATGTTTGTTTATGTTTGTTCATGTTTATGTATAATGTTTATGTTTATGTTTAAGTTTATGTTTAAGTTTATGTTTAAGTTTATGTTTAAGTTTATGTTAATGTTAATGTTAATGTTAATGTTACTGTTAATGTTAATGTTAATGTTAATGTTAATGTTTATGTTTATGTTTATGTTTATGTTTATGTTTATGTTTATGTTTATGTTTATGTTTATGTTTATGTTTATGTTTATGTTTATGTTTATGTTTATGTTTATGTTTATGTTTATGTTTATGTTTACGTTTATGTTTATGTTTATGTTTATGTTTATGTTTATGTTTATGTTTATGTTTATGTTTATGTTTATGTTTATGTTTATGTTTATGTTTATGTTTATGTTTATGTTTATGTTTATGTTTATGTTTATGTTTATGTTTATGTTTATGTTTATGTTTATGTTTATGTTTATGTTTATGTTTATGTTTATGTTTATGTTTATGTTTATGTTTATGTTTATGTCTATGTTTATGTTTATGTTTATGTTTATGTTTATGTTTATGTTTATGTTTATGTTTATGTTTATGTTTATGTTTATGTTTATGTTTATGTTTATGTTTATGTTTATGTTTATGTTTATGTTTATGTTTATGTTTATGTTTATGTTTAAGTTTATGTTTATGTTTATGTTTATGTTTATGTTGATGTTGATGTTGATGTTGATGTTGATGTTGATGTTGATGTTGATGTTGATGTTGATGTTTATGTTTATGTTTATGTTTATGTTTATGTTTATGTTTATGTTTATGTTTATGTTTATGTTTATGTTTATGTTTATGTTTATGTTTATGTTTATGTTTATGTTTATGTTTATGTTTATGTTTATGTTTATGTTTATGTTTATGTTTATGTTTATGTTTATGTTTATGTTTATGTTTATGTTTATGTTTATGTTTATGTTTATGTTTATGTTTATGTTTATGTTTATGTTTATGTTTATGTTTATGTTTATGTTTATGTTTATGTTTATGTTTATGTTTATGTTTATGTTTATGTTTATGTTTATGTTTATGTTTATGTTTATGTTTATGTTTATGTTTATGTTTATGTTTATGTTTATGTTTATGTTTATGTTTATGTTTATGTTTATGTTTATGTTTATGTTTATGTTTATGTTTATGTTTATGTTTATGTTTATGTTTATGTTTATGTTTATGTTTATGTTTATGTTTATGTTTATGTTTATGTTTATGTTTATGTTCATGTTCATGTTCATGTTTATAATTATGTTTATGTTTATGTTTATGTTTATGTTTTTGTTTATGTTTATGTTTATGTCTTTGTTTATGTTTATGTTTATGTTTATGTTTATGTCTATGTTTATGTTTATGTTTATGTTTATGTTTATGTTTATGTTTATGTTTATGTTTATGTTTATGTTTATGTTTATGTTTATGTTTATGTTTATGTTTATGTTTATGTTTATGTTTATGTTTATGTTTATGTTTATGTTTATGTTTATGTTTATGTTTATGTTTATGTTTATGTTTATGTTTATGTTTATGTTTATGTTTATGTTTATGTTTATGTTTATGTTTATGTTTATGTTTATGTTTATGTTTATGTTTATGTTTATGTTTATGTTTATGTTTATGTTTATGTTTATGTTTATGTTTGTGTTTGTGTTTGTGTTTGTGTTTGTGTTTGTGTTTGTGTTCGTGTTCGTGTTCGTATTCGTGTTCGTGTTCGTGTTCGTGTTCGTGTTCGTGTTCGTGTTCGTGTTCGTGTTCGTGTTCGTGTTCGTGTTCGTGTTCGTGTTCGTGTTCGTGTTCGTGTTCGTGTTCGTGTTCGTGTTCGTGTTCGTGTTCGTGTTCGTGTTCGTGTTCGTGTTCGTGTTCGTGTTCGTGTTCGTGTTCGTGTTCGTGTTCGTGTTCGTGTTCGTGTTCGTGTTCGTGTTCGTGTTCGTGTTCGTGTTCGTGTTCGTGTTCGTGTTCGTGTTCGTGTTTATGTTTATGTTTATGTTTATGTTTATGTTTATGTTTATGTTTATGTTTATGTTTATGTTTATGTTTATGTTTATGTTTATGTTTATGTTTATGTTTATGTTTATGTTTATGTTTATGTTTATGTTTATGTTTATGTTTATGTTTATGTTTATGTTTATGTTTATGTTTATGTTTATGTTTATATTTATGTTTATATGGGGATGGTTATTTGCTAAGCCACCCCTTTTACTTATCATTTGGATCCGCCTATGCATGTTAAGCTTAACATTAAAAAGATACCAATGGTAGTACGACACGTATCATATATCGACCTTTGTAATACTTGCTCATTTCGAAGTTTTCTCGCTGTGGAATTTTAATTAATTACTCAGTAGTTTAATTAAATGTGTGGATTAATTGTAAAATGTTCTACCCAATGTTAAATCCTATATTACTTGTTACACAGAAGATTTATTAACTATAATTTACAAATAACTAAGTGGACGGACATTTTAGGTAGGTTATAATGTGACGTAGTGGCCGGCCATTATAGCCAGGTTTACTGGTGACGTAATAGACGGTCGTTGTTGCTAGTTTGAACAGTGACGTAACTTCTAGTTTAAAAAGTGCCATAGTGGACGGTCTTTACAACTAGGTTCACTGTAGGATTTGTTGACGGCTGTTATAGCTACTCTACCAAGTACCGTAATATATGACTGCTATGAGGCTGGTAAGTAGGTCACCAACATGTTCTACGGCTCTATAAAACCTGCATGAGCCAGATAACTGTTTATTGACCTACTTACCAGCCCTATAACTATATGTTATCAAGTAAATAGAGACCAAACAATCCAAGAATTTAGTGAAGTATTAAACACGTGGTTTATGAGTTTTGTAATAAAGTGTTGCTTTGAAAACAATATTTGTTCTGTCAGATCCGCAATAACAGTAAAACGTCCAATTGTTGTAATAAACCATTATTTAATAAATCCCAGTCCAGAGCTATTCTAAAATTTCAATAGCTTTCATAACTTGACTCTGGTTGGCTTTTAGCTACATTGCTAATGAGCAAGTGAGCATTAAATATATAAACCAGTGGCGTCGCATGGTGCGATACTTCGTGGTGTCAACCCCCCCCCCCCCAAGAAAGTATATATATATATATATATATATATATATATATATATATATATATATATATATATATATATATATATATATATATATATATATATATATATATGTGTGTGTGTGTGTGTGTGTGTGTGTGTGTGTGTGTGTTTGTGTGTGTGTCGGCCTACATAGACATATCATATAGATATATGTATGTGTGTAATCTTTAATCACTGCAGACTTAGTATTAAGGATGTTTATCTATAGTCTTTTAATAATAAAGCCTTTATAGTCATCACGTTTAAGTCATGGTGACCCCCCCCCCCCCCCCATCAACCCCACCCTCTTGTAATGATTGTGATTTGTACTTAAAAGACTATTTCATTTAAATTAATCACTAATGGATCTTGCAAAAAAATTTCTTCTGTAAATTTTGCTATTTTTTGGCTTTGTGTCACCCCCCCCCCTGAATGGTGTCACCCCGGTGCGATCCGCAACCCCCACCCAGCCCTCGCTACGGCTCTGATATAAACGTTATGTTAAGGTGTTCCCTTTGAATCCAGTTTGTGATATAAATGAAAAAACCTGCATCCATCTGTAATTAAAGCAATAGGATTTATAGTCTTATAGAGATTGAGCATTACTTAAACAAAATGAGTTTCCTGTCTAATCCCTGTTTGATTAAATACAGACGCAAATATTTTTCTGGTGAACAAAATATTCATACCTTATTCAACTGATTCACGAGCAAAAACAAACACACACACACGTACCGCAATCTTGCACATACGCACTCTGACACACTTGCACTTGCAATCAAACACAAATACAAACGAAAACACATCCCCAGCCAGTGAGGGATTAAGGGGGGGGGCTAATAAAGCAGCAGCCTGGGGACCACGATTATTTTTGTTCCCCACAATTTCTGTTACATACTATAATAAATTAAACTTGTATAAATTTAATTTTGTATACATTTTTATAATGTTTTCTCTTTATACTAGTTAAATGTAAGTTCGCTCCAGGCGCAGGGAGGGGTCGCTTCGTACGCCTCTGCACACAAGAGCTAGAAAAAGCTATTAAATCTCATACTAATAGAGAAATTCATCATTAGAATCAATTTTTTTTTAAAATTATAAAAGAATAAATGTGTATGCAGGTTGTGGCCTATCTGATCAGTGCTGCAAACTAACAACCACAACCAGGCGATCCCTTGACTCCTTCCAAACTAACTGGCATACACTGGCCTAACACCATTTCAAATGAGACACGACTAGGAGGGATGTAAATGGGAGCTTTTTTTTTTGAAAAAAAAAGAAGAAAAGAAGATGGCGCTAGATGTGGCACGTTGTAAGAATGAATCCGTTTGAAGTGGACACCTCATGGAAAAAGAAAATAGTAATGCCCATGAAGACGTTGAGGCGCACGGCGGGGAAGCAGCAGGCAGAAGCCGGACTGTGCAGGAATAGTGCCGAAACAAAAGTGGAGGGAGCATTTTTTGTGGCGGCCCCATGTGTCTTGAGGGATGGAGTGGTCTAGCGGTAGAGAGCTGGACTGCTAATCCATAAGTCTCGAGTGCGAATCCGAATCAGTAGACAGTCCTTGAGTCCACCCAACTCTGATTGGTACCTAACTCGGGTTAGGGAAAGTAAAGGCGGCTGGGCATAGTGCTGACCACACTATCTCTTCATTTGTCGAAGTCACAGAAACAAGTGAACTCTACTTCACTTGCCCCATAGACCGTCAGGTTTGAAAGGTAAACTTTACATGTGTTTTCGATGCACAAAGGATAAAATAATGATAAGGCTGGAGTTGAATTTTAGAAAAAAAAATTGTTTTATACATTTTTATAGGCTGTTA